AATATTTTGACCTATATTATATATATTGGGGCATATGTCCCTCACTTAAGCTTCCTATTGATGCAATAAAGACGTATCCCTTACGATTTTCCAGAAACCGATAATTAAAATTCCGAGGCGAACAACTTCAAACAGAACACTTGCCATACATGGAATGTAAACAATTGCTCCGTACATAAAAAACTGTCGCACGCGGTGTTATCAGTGTTTGCCGAACTGGTTATCAATCACAAATTTTGCGTTGGATATTCGTAAAGAGTGCTCCAAGGGACATAACTATATGGGGATCGCTAGAAATAATGTTCGGCCGGTATAGGGCGCGAGAGTCGATTTAATACAACGTTGCATTAATTCATTCGAATTCATTAATTTAATAAGTATTGTAATCTAAATACGTAATTCTTTTTGGAATAAATCATATGGTAGCTTTCCTGAGGGCTGATAGTTAGTACTATTGAGAGAAATGCGTTATTTATATTTACAGAATTATGGTGTGATTTAGTGCCTTTAAGGTGACACGTCGTGTTACAACGGGAATACTGTTCGCAGGTTACACACTTCATAACGCACTCACTCACTGTATACATGATAGCTGTTACGAAGGTCGGTATTTCAACAATAGTCATCGTGACTAGATTACTATATTTCCACAAGTCAAGTGGACTTTGTTGGTTACACGTGTACATGAACCTGTGAAGGTCCGGGTTAGAGTTGATCATCAGCAACCTATGCTTGTCGTAAGAGGCGACTAACCGGATCGGGTGGTCAGGTTCGCTGACTTGGTTGACACATGTCACCGTATCCCAACTGTGTAGATCGATATTCATGATGGCAGTCATTGTCTGGTCCAGACCTGATTGTTTTCAGACCGTCACCATAAAGCTGGAATATTGCTGAGTGCGGTGTTAAACAACTTACAATTAAAATATGCGTACATCAATGGCCGGCTTCATTAAACCACTGGCTTTGACATTTCCTAATTTCCTTCTACCCCAAGTACACACGGAACTGTTTCTTGCCTGTTCCTTTCCAGTTATGTCATGGAAGGATGTTTATAGCAATATACAGATTCTATGACCTAAATGTTGCTTCCCTCTCATGCATATTTATAAATAACACTTCCTACCAAAACTAAATTGGGGACCGCCTCCGTGGTGTAGTGGTTAGAGCGTCCGCCCGGAGAGCGGAAGGTCGTGGGTTCGATCCCCGACCGCGTCATACCAAAAGACGTTAAAATATGGTACTTGTTGGTCCCTGCCTGGCGCTCGGCATTAATGGGTACAACAAGGACTGGTCGGCTCGGAGTCAGTATAATGTGTCTGAGTGGGGTATTCATGCTTCACTGCGGCATGGTATCTCAGTGGGCTAGCACTATAAAACCAGCCTAAGTCTGGGCTAGTACAAGCAGCCGCACAAACACATACACACGCATGCACGTCGTCATATGAGCGAAATATTCTCAAGCACGACGTTAAACCCAATTTCACCTCACCTCACTAAATTGGGAAACACTAGCTCCACGTGGCAATAGTTATACAGTCATGACAAAGGGGTATGATAGCATGCATGCACCAAGTCAGCACCCCAGACCACCTCCTGCTGGATATTAACATGAAAGTATCTGGATGTTTTAGTGGTACCAGTGGTTACCTATGAACATAAATATTTTTTCTGGGTTACATCTTCTTTTTAAAAAAAAGAATAAAAAAAAGATGTAACCCAGAAAAAATCTCTATTTTCATCAAATAGCATCTTATAAAATGCCAATCAAGCATCTAACAGTTACCAAGGTATGTATATTTGCTGTGGGTTGGTCATTTGGCATTGAATATATTTAACTGTCACAAATTAACGAAATTTGACAGGTTTAACTATCATGTGTTTCAGACAATACCCAGCTGTATATATGCTGTGCATATCTTATAGACAAGAACTATTTAAACGCATGTGTAGGAATGTGCTGAATTAGCATGCTGTAGGTGATATATACTTGCGTTAAAACTGAAACAAGCAAATGATAATTCTGATTAGAATAGAATTTAATTCATGTGTAGTTACTAGTGATATAAATTTGTGATACTTTGAGTTTTATTAACATCACTTTATCGTTCTTCCATAATGGGATGGTGGGATAGCCTAGTGGTTAAAGCGTTCGCTCGTCACGCCGAAGACCCGGTTCGATTCCCCACATGGGTACAAAGTGTGAAGCCCATTTCTGGTGACCCCCACCGTGATATTGCTGAAATATTGCTGAAAGCGGCGTGACACTAAACTCACTCACTCACTATTCCATAATGTGACTGATATGTGAAAACATGTGCATGGACACAACCTAACTCAAATATGTGTTACTCTTTCAACCAAACCAAAACTACAGTAGGCAGGCCTGTCTTTTAATTTTAGGGAAATGGCTGTAGTTGAGCCCAAGCATTGTGTACAAGTCACATATACGTGCAATACTCAAGGAAAATGGGAAACCCTTCGGTTCTTAGGATGGGTAGGGACATCTGAAACACGCATGTTTTATGTGGCTTTAAACCCGTGAAGATCCGCGTTAGAATTGATCTTCAGTAACCCATGCTTGTCCAAAGAGGCGACTAACGGGATCGGATGGTCAGGCTCGCTGACGTGGTTGACACATGTCATCATATCCCAACTGCATTGATCGATGCTCATATTGTTCATCACTGGATTGTCTGGTCCAGACTCGATTATTGACAGACCGCCGCCATATAGCTGGAATTTTGCGGCGTAAAACTAAACTCACTCACTCACTTATGTGGCTTTAAACAGAATGCGATATGTTGGATGGAACAGCCGTTTTATAAAAGATGACCCCGAGTGGAAATTTCATTTAGAATCCAAACTGTACAACAATTTTAACGTCGTTAAGTTTGGGATATATCATCGTAAAATACTTTACAATATTAGCATATGCTTAAAGCAGGTGTTGCAAACGAGGGTGGTCTATTTCTTTCTAAATGAGGCTTGCTCATTCGAAAAACGAGGGACACACAATGTATTTTATGATGGTTCGAAGCGTCAGGTTGTGTATTGTTGTTCTCTTTGTGTTTGGTGTCGGTAATTGCTCGTAGAACAACCCGCCCGCGTTCAATTAATTATGATGGGTCGAAGTGACGTGGCATTGGTTGGCTAGTTATTGTATGCATTGACGCAGAGACAGGTATATATGTTCTGTATCTGGATTGATGCACACTACTAGGGATATTCCTTCACGTACGTGTTGACATCGCCAGCTCCAAAAAACAGAGGAATAGCGACCATTTCGGAATAAGGTGAGAAAACGAATTACGGTAGAACGTCACTTATCGTGACGCTTGTGTTTTCTTACATTTTCCCAGATAAACGAATGTCCGGATATCTGAATCTCGTCAATTACATCAATTACATTGCCCAATTATACGGTAGCTAAAACCACATCTTTTTTATAATGCGTAAGATTATCCGAGTGAAAATCTACACGGTATCACCTGTCAACTAACTTAAGTCCACCAACTAGCGAAAAGTAACTTGGTTTATGAAAAGTAATGAAAGTTGCGATTAAATTTCAATGGACATCATGGTTTGCCATTTATATTATGTTTCCTGTTCTACTAAGCATATGCATTGTGTAATAAGCAGGATTTGGATTATCGTATGTACTTGTTTCTATTTAGCACATTGCGATTTTTAAAATCACGGCGCTCGTCACTGTGGGGCGGTGGGGTAGCCAAGTGGTTAAAGCTTTCTCTCGTCACGCCAAAGGCCCGGGTTCGATTCCCCATATGGGTTCAATGTGCGAAGCCCATTTCTGGTGACCCCCCGACGTGAATTGCGTCATAATGCTCAAGATGGAGTCACCTGTGCTTGGCTTAAGAGGCGAATAACGGGATCGGGTGGTCAGGCTCGCTGCCTTGATTGACAGATGTCATTGTATCCCGATGTAGACCGATGCTCATGCTGTTGATCACTGGGTTGAGCAGCTGGATGATTGCTGAGTGCGGCGTTAAACAGCAAACAAACATCAAGATTGAGTCTATATGCTTTAAAGGGAATTAAAGCTTAGGTGAGGTGAGGTGAAATTGGGTTTAACGTCGTGCTTGAGAATATTTCGCTCATATGACGACGTGCATGCGTGTGTATGTGTATGTGCGGCTGCTTGTACTAGCCCAGACTTAGGCTGGTTTTATAGTGCTAGCCCACTGAGATACCATGCCGCAGTGAAGCATGAACACCCCACTGAGACACATTATACTGACTCCGAGCTGACCAGTCCTTGTTGTACCCATTAATGCCAAGCGCCAGGCAGGGACCAACAAGTACCATATTTTAACGTTTTATGGTATGACGCGGTCGGGGATCGAACCCACGACCTTCCGCTCTCCGGGCGGACGCTCTAAGCACTACACCACGGAGGCGGTCAAAGGGAATTAAAGAGGTGCGACGGGACACACACACACACACACACACACACACACACACACACACACTAGTTAGCGAGGCGCGTGTTGTTTTCTGTTCACTTCAAATGTCTCGTTTTATCCGAATATATATGCATTTATAATTTGGAAGTGGTGTTGCTGTGACAGCAGAAGTGAGTAACCCAATGGTTAAATCGTTCGCTCGTCACACCGAAGAACCGTGTTCGATTCCCATTTCTTTTGTCCACCTGCCGTGATATTGCTGGAATATTGCTAAAAGCGGGTTAAAACTATACTCACTCACTCACTCACTCACTCACTCACTCACTCACTATCTCACTCACTCACTCACTCACTCACTCACTCTGCGCGGTGTATTGCGGCGCCTCCGATGACTAGCCGGACCTGAAGCTTCACGTTCGCCATAACACGAAAGGGCATGTCTGGAACAGTCAATGAACAATGTTTTCACTTACAACTTAATTCGTTCGTCTTTCCATTTCACGTCATACATTTCCTGTTCTTCCTGTTTAGCGAGGGTCAGTCAAACGTTATCTTCAAGAAATGTTTGTGTTTCAGATCCAGTCTGAGTCTACTGCCAAACAGTGAATATGGACGCTGTAAGAGACCTTCTGGTGACCCGAGTGGGGCAAGTCGGAGCTGGGGCTCTCGCTGTGGCGGGCACCGTAGCAGCCTCATATCTTCTAAAGGGAGGACCGAAACCCATCCCGCTTGTCATCGACCCTCACAATCAGACTATAGATCTTGGGGTAGGTGTTTATTTCTTTGACCCCACAACGGAATAAAGATCTAAGCGAAGATGTTATTTGTCTGACCCACACATCCAGACTTAAGACATAGAGCCTGAAGTAATGGTAGATGTTTGTCTGACCCCACATCCAGACTTAAGACATAGAGCCTGAAGTAATGGTAGATGTCTGGCTGATCCAACATCCAGACTTAAGACATAGTGCCTGCAGTAATGATGGATGTTTATCTGATCGCACGACCAGACTTAAGACATAGAGCCTGAAGTAATGGTAGATGTTTGTCTGATCCCACATCCTGACTTAAGACATAGAGCCTGAAGTAATGGTAGATGTTTGTCTGATCCTACGTCCAGACTTAAGACATAGATCCCGCAATAATGGTAGATGTTTGTCTGACCCCACATCCAGACTTAAGACATAGAGCCTGCAGTAATGGTAAATGTTTGTCTGACCCCACATCCAGACTTAAGACATAGAGCCAGCAGTAATGGTAGATGTTTGTCTGACCCCACATCCAGACTTAAGACATAGAGCCTGAAGTAATGGTAGATGTTTGTCTGATCCCACATCCAGACTTAAGACATAGAGCCTGAAGTAATGGTAGATGTTTGTCTGACCCCACACATCCAGACTTAAGACATAGAGCCTGAAGTAATGGTAGATGTTTGTCTGATCCCACATCCAGACTTAAGACATAGAGCCTGCAGTAATGGTAGATGTTTGTCTGACCCCACACATTGTCTGACCCCACACATCCAGACTTAAGACATAGAGCCTGAAGTAATGGTAGATGTTTGTCTGATCCCACATCCAGACTTAAGACATAGAGCCTGCAATAATGGTAGATGTTTGTCTGACCCCACACATCCAGACTTAAGACATAGAGCCTGAAGTAATGGTAGATGTTTGTCTGATCCCACATCCAGACTTAAGACATAGAGCCTGAAGTAATCGTAGATGTTTGTCTGACCCCACACACCCAGGCTTAAGACATAGAGCCTGAAGTAATGGTAGATGTTTGTCTGATCCCACATCCAGACTTAAGACATAGAACCTGAAGTAATCGTAGATGTTTGTCTGACCCCACACATCCAGACTTAAGACATAGAGCCAGCAGTAATGGTAGATGTTTGTCTGACCCCACACATCCAGACTTAAGACATAGAGCCTGCAATAATGGTAGATGTTTGTCTGACCCCACACATCCAGACTTAAGACATAGAGCCTGAAGTAATGGTAGATGTTTGTCTGACCCCACATCCAGACTTAAGACATAGAGCCTGGGAAGTAATCGTAGATGTTTGTCTGACCCCACATCCAGACTTAAGACATAGAGAGCCTGCAGTAATGGTAGATGTTTGTCTGACACATCAGACTTAAGACATAGAGCCTGCAGTAATGGTAGATGTTTGTCTGACCCCACACATCCAGACTTAAGACATAGGGAGCCTGAAGTAATGGTAGATGTTTGTCTGACCCCAAATCCAGACTTAAGACATAGAGCCTGAAGTACATAGTTTGGTCTGACCCCACACATCCAGACTTCTAAGACATAGGCCTAAGTAATGAGATGTTTGTCTGATCCAACATCCAGACTTAAGACATAGAGCCTGAAGTAATGGTAGATGTTTATCTGACCCCACACATCCAGACTTAAGACATAGAGCCTGAAGTAATGGTGGTAGATTGTTTGATCTGACATCCAGACTTAAGACATAGAGCCTGGAAGTAATGGTAGATGTTTGTCTGACCCCACACATCCAGACTTAAGACATAGGAGCCTGCAGTAATGGTAGATGTTTGACTTAAGACATAGAGCCTGCAATAATGGTAGATGTTTGTCTGACCCACACACACATCCAGACTTAAGACATAGAGCCTGAAGTAATGGTAGATGTTTGTCTGACCCCACATCCAGACTTAAGACATATAGAGCCTGGAAGTAATGGTAGATGTTTGTCTGACCCCACACATCCAGACTTAAGACATAGAGCCTGAAGTAATGGTAGATGTTTGTCTGATCCCACATCCAGACTTAAGACATAGAGCCTGAAGTAATGGTAGATGTTTGTCTGACCCCACATCCAGACTTAAGACATAGAGCCTGGAAGTAATGGTAGATGTTTGTCTGACCCCATCAGACACATCCAGACTTAAGACATAGACATCCTGCAGATAATGGTAGATGTTTATCTGACCCCACGACCAGACTTCTAAGACATAGAGCCTGCAGTAATGGTAGATGTTTGTCTGACCCCACACATCCAGACTTAAGACATAGAGCCTGCAGTAATGGTAAATGTTTGTCTGACCCCACATCCAGACTTAAGACATAGAGCCTGAAGTAATGGTAGATGTTTGTCTGACCCCACACATCCAGACTTAAGACATAGAGCCTGCAGTAATGGTAGATGTTTTTTTTATCCCAAAATCAGACTTAAGACATAGAGCCTGCAGTAATGGTAGATGTTTGTCTGACCCCACACATCCAGACTTAAGACATAGAGCCTGCAATAATGGTAGATGTTTATCTGACCCCACGACCAGACTTAAGACATAGAGCCTGCAGTAATGGTAGATGTTTGTCTGACCCCACATCCAGACTTAAGACATAGAGCCTGCAATAATGGAAGATGTTTGTCTGATCCCACACATCCAGACTTAAGACATAGAGCATGCACTAATGATGGATGTTTGTCTGACCTCACGATCAGATCTGTTGGTAGGTGTTCGTTTGTTTACCCCCAATCAGACTATTAATTTGTAGAGACAGAGGCAAGACCTTGACAGTAATTCGCTTAAACGTAATTCGCTCATTCACTTGTAAGGGGGGCAGTTAATTACTGTTTCTCATTTCCTGCCCGACTTAAATTATGTGAAATAATACAAACTTTTCTGTCTTAATTTCCCCTGCCACTGTGGAAATCTATTCATTGATATGATGAATAAAATGATTTTACCCTCGCACACGCATAACGTTCAGGTCAGATTGGTCGTTTTTTCATTTAAATTTCATGGAATTATATGGAAGAAGGTAAACAATTAATGGGGACAAATACCATACTGATACCTTCCTCCCCGTTGGCTCTTTAGCTAGTTAAATTTGGAGATGAGAAACACATAAAAATACGATGAGCAAAGATTTTATCCTGTTTATATGCATTGCAATTCGTGCAGTAACTGGAATCTGTTATACAGAGCGGGTGGCGGGGTTGCCTAGTGGTTAAAGTGATCGTTCGTCAAGCTGAAGGCCCGGGTTCGATTCCCCACATGGATACAATGTGTGAAGTGCATTTCTGGTATCCCCCGCCATGATGTTGCTGGAATATTGTTAAAAGCGGCGTAAAACTAAATTCACTCTCTCACTATACAGGGTGGGGTGCGAGCGTCTTCAAAGATGAGTGACTTCAAGGAGAAGAAGCCAATGGAACGTATTTCTGACGAAGCGGACACACTGTACACGATCTTCCTCTGTGGTCTCAAGAAGTCACGTGAGTTGTTAAAGCACGAGAACTCTTAGAGTGTCATGAATGTCCGACCATGGACCCTAGTATGGTGATCTACCTTCAGTTGTTGGTGATCTATAGCCTATTTTTATATTGTGTTGTCCCCTATAGTTAAAATGTTTTAGATTCAATTACTAGTTTTACATGTATATCTGTGATACCCTAGTTGCTTTACTGTCCTTTGTCGGCAGGTTTTTATACTATCTATATATATTCTATTTTAATGTCAAGTGTTCTCGTCACGATATGGCTGATATATTGCCGATGTGACGTTAAATAATAACTCACTCACTCATGAATGTCTGATATAAGCAGTGTCCTCATTTTCTCAGACTTACAATAACGCCTCAAGAAGGAACATTATTTCCCAAACGCACACAGTCGGTGGTATAGACTACCAGTTGTCCGACTTCCATTTCTGTGGAAGCCGCGGTGGCTGAGCGGGTTAGGCGTCTGACTTTGTGTGCTGACGATTAGGCGCCTGGCTCTGAGGGTGTGGGTTCGAATCTTTCTTTACTTAGAAAGTGTAATCCCAAATGTAACTGTTACATGAATGGAATGTAGGTCATTCCCAATGCTCTTATAGACAATACGATGTATGCCGCTAATATCAACCGGTCTCTGCATGAGTTTTACCTCAAAGAGGGAATTGTCAAGTTACATATAATCACTATCAGCTATTCAATACACGCACAATAGTTGGTATCGACTTTGGCAGACGAGCTAGATGCTTTAGAAATAGGTTTTGTGCGGAAAACCTTGGAATCGTCCATATATATTGACAGTAGTAGGTGACCTCGCCAAGATGGATACTACCATGCCAACTGTCGGGCATTTCCCGATTTCAGTATGTCGCATCGCTGAGTTATCAGTCAAGCAGAGAGTTAATGAATTGACAGTATCATGGAATTGGCACACTTGAATCATTATCTTCATCAGCTGATGAACGTCAACAATACAACGTCAGTCTTAAAATATTGACAGATCTCACCCAGATGAACACTAGCAAGCTGACTGTCGTCAACTGCATTCTTCCAACAGACACTATGAAGCCACCAGCTTGCGGCGTGCATGTGTATGTTTCTTGTTGCATTTGTATGGGTTGGGGCTATGCAAGATGAAAACACAGGTCATGGTATACTAGAACGTGCTTCTTGTGTATACGAAAATATACGATGAGCATGTAGTAATGGTATAGCATTGTATGAAATGTATCCACGAAGTTGGTAAATATCTGCAAACATACGCAAATCCACTCAAAGCACGTATTTCCTACAGTGTTTTCGTTTATTTCAATATTGTACAACCAGCTTCTGGTCCTGTGCCAGCTGTGAAGAGTTACGTACCTTAGACGTGTCTGGATCTTCTGATCCTGGATTCGAATTCCCAATCTGCGAGATCATGGTCTTTGGTTTTGCAACTTGTTGATGCAAAAGAAATGCAAAGTCCCCCAAATATTGATCTCTTTGTTTCTAAAGGCGGATCAGTGACCGAAGCCCTGATGTTGACCTGCACTGAATCTGTTTTAGAGCTCAAGACAGCTTTTTGCAACTGAACCCTCCCTTCCGCTTATGGACAACCACAAGAGCCATTACACTGATGCCGTCGTCGAATCACTCAAATCCTTGAATGCGGCCACCAAGCAAATCCCACCAAAAACCAAGTCCTACCTGCAACCTCTGGATGTATCTGGCGGAGTTAACACCCATTCAAAGCTGCCATGAGTAAGCAGTGGCAGAACTGGTTAATTAATGGTGAAAAAGAATTCACTGTCGCCGGCAACAGGAAAAGACCATCATGCGAAGTTTTGATGTACACGGTATCTGAATCCCCTGATGCAGTAGCTTCTATCTCCCCAACGGTTGTCGAGAATTCGTTCAGATTGTGTGGTGTAGCTGAAAGGGAGAACAGGTTCCACTGGTGCAACTGAACTCCAGGCTGCCAGATGTTCTTCAGTCGGACTAAGGTCTTGTACTGCCAGATGATGACCAGCTAAGTGACGACCCTTTCGAGGATTCCAGTTCAGAAGATGGTGATGCTGATTGACAGATGAGGACCAGATGATGAAACCTCAGTGACGAGTCGTTTAATGTGTTTCATTTAATTTCAACGCAGCAGTTTGAATTTTAAAAGAGTTCTCTCAAATTATGATAGTTATGTTGAAAGGATGATTGAATTTGTTCATGGAATAAGATTCGTTCCATTAAAAGTTAAAAAGAAGTTTTGTTGTATTTTACTTCATCTCGAATTTCAGCCAATTTAAGCCCAGGGCTTAATTTCAGAAGAAATAAATAAAAATGTTTCTCAGATGATACGGATGAACACCTTTTCTTCATTTTGTCTGGAATCCAATTAGGATACAGATATGAATATACCAAATACAGCGTTTACCTTCAAATTCCCTTTGTTCTATGTAGGTCACAGAAAGTGTCTCGGCAAAAGAACAGGACCTAACAATGAATATGAATACCTGACATATCAGCAGGTAAGAATTCGTATAAACACAGAGCAGTAAAACTAGTTCTTGTCCGATATGCTTCATGAATTTGGGGCGGTGGGATATTTTGTTGTACGGTTGGAATCCCGTGACCTTAATAACGTGAACCATCTGCTAATTAATCATAAAGCTTGACGTAACATACTCTTCAAAACAAGTCGGGGAACTTCGTTTTCAGTTTACGATTGGGAGATACATCGGAATCAATCAATGTTGATATGATAATAATGAATGTTTTGATAGTACATCACCACTTGCACTTCCTTAGTGACCATAGTCGTTTGTACAGTAATCGCGCTAGGAAGATGATTGGTGTATGACGTGAAGTTTGAATGTGAACGATTTTCATTCTCAAACAATAAAAAGGTTAGAAACATAATTAATGGTCTACAGTGATTTATCGACCTTCTTGAAAACAGTCAAAATCAAGAATGCCACCCCATGCACGTGTATGGGGCTACTGCGTTGTGCACGTGCATTCCATGCGTTGTGTTGAGGGGTAGCGATAAAGAGAAATGGTGGTGCGTTCATAAGATTTCTGTCTTTGAAAAGTTTGTTAAAGCTTATACGTAGCAAATTGAAAGTTCACGTTCCCCTACTTTTTTTTAAATGTAATTGAAATATATATACTAGTAAAAGATGCATAACACTTACAGTCTATGCCCCAAGTAGATGAAGCTGTGTTAGCACGGTAAACAACACTTATTCACCTGATTACAGGTATACGACAGAGCACGTGCCTTCGCCTCCGGGTTGATACAGCTGGGTCTGAAGCCACACCCAGACACGTTTATTGGTATATACAGCATCAACAGAATAGAGGTGAGTGACAGGTACCCACAACTCATGGGTCGGGTTAGTAGCAGATGTTTTGAACTGTATGCTTTGTTGACAATATTATTGTCTCGCTATTCACATACGTATGTTCTGTTGACAATGTTATTCGCTATTCAAATACATGTGTTCTGTTGTCAGTATTATGGTCTCGCTATTCACATACATTTGTTCTGTTGACAATATTATTGTCTCGCTATTCACATACGTATGTTCTGTTGACAATGTTATTCGCTATTCAAATACATGTGTCCTGTTGACAGTATTATGGTCTCGCTATTCACATACATTTGTTCTGTTGACAATATTATTGTCTCGCTATTCACATACATATGTTCTGTTGACAGTGGGTGTTGGCAGAGCAAGCATGCAATGCCTACTCCATGGTAACAGTTCCCCTGTACGACACACTAGGACCAACGGCTTGCCAGTACATCATTAACCTCTGTAAGTTAACGTCTACTCCTCTGAGAAGCAATTATTGTGCAAAGTTGCGTCCCTTGAACACACCAGGATCCGCAATATTCCAGTTTCGGCCTGATCATCTGCCATGGTCATCAGCGCCATACCGGTGTCGATTGATAAACGGGGCGGTGGGGTAACCTAGTGGTTAAAGCGTTCGCTCGTCACGCCGAAGACCCAGGTTCGATTCCCCACATGGGTACAATGTGTGGGGCCATTAATGGTGTACATACGTACCTTTGGGGTGATGCTTTGAAGATAGTGTTACAGCACTATGGCATTTTATTTAAATGAATGTAATAATCAAGACGATCGGATGGCTCTATTCTCAACATATGCAAAGTGTATATAAGCCTACAACCACACGTAATATGGCTAGAATATTGGTAAAAGCGGCGTAAAATTATACTCACTCGCCCTGCTGCTGCAGCGGTGCTGGTGATGTGTTAGAAACACCGTCTCACTAACTTCTTACAGCGGAGATGGCGACCGTAGTGTGTGACACGTCAACGCGGGTTGAGAGGCTCCTCGACAGCGCCGAGACGACACCGTCCCTCAAGACTATCATCATCATGGATGACCCAACCAGTGACGTCATCAAGCAGGCGGAGGCTCACGGGATAAAGATACTCTCATTTGCTGAAGTCGAGGTGATTCTACTCGTTTATGGATATTATCAAATTGTATATGTGGCTTAAAGGGAAGGGCATAAAATCAAACAAGTCGAAGAATTAAGAACCATCACGATGTTTCTACATCTTCAGATTTTTAGGACCGCCTCCGTGGTGTAGTGCTTAGAGCGTCCGCCCGGAGAGCTGACGGTCGCGGGTTCGATCCCCGGCCGCGTCATACCAAAAGACGTTAAAATGTGGTACTTGTTGGTCCCTGTCTGGCGCTCGGCATTAATGGGTACAACAAGGACTGGTCGGCTCGGAGTCAGTATAATGTGTCTCAGTGTGGTATTCATGCTTAACTGCGGCATGGTATCTCAGTGAGCTAGCACTATAAAACCAGCTTCAGTCTGGGCTAGTACGAGCAGCCACACATACACACGCATGCATGTCGTCATATGAGCGAAATATTCTCAAGCACGACGTTAAACCCCATTTCACCTCACCACAGACTTTTTAAATTCACCTGCTGTTGATACCGACCCTTAAATTTGTTCATATTGACACAGCACATAATATTTAGTTCCATTCAGGGGAACTAAGATTGTTATTTTGAGTATGACTTTTGGATGTTTTGTTCCACAGGCACGCGGCAAAGAGAAACTGCAGATTCCAGTGGTGAGTTTAGTTGTTAGAAACGTCCGTACAATCCTCATGTTGTTAACTTCAGTCACTAAGTAATTAACTATTTTTCGAGAGGAAAAATGAGCATGTACACACAATGTTGAATAGACGCAGAAATATATATTTTACGTCCAAGCGGACATAAAAAATATTCATTGTACGAACGTATTGACAAGAAATATATATCAAGTAACTGAAGTCCTTATTGAATTGCAAGACCTCAACATTTCTATAAGCACTCTTGAAAAGAATTACTGCGTTTCCCAAGGACCCATAGTTTGTTTGTCAACGTAAGTCCATGAGGTAGGAAAAATATATTCATAAGTCGGATTCCAAACTCTTTGCACGTCATGTTACATCTGAGTTTCATATTTTGTGAAATAGTGATTGTATGTAAAGATTTATAATTTGATTCTTCAGCCTCCCAAACCATCAGACCTGGCGACAATTTCCTTCACAAGTGGAACAACGGGTAAGTACTAAAGCCAAAATAGTCGTGTGTATTTATCCCAAGTTGGTTCTTAGAGCCGGCCAATGTGGATCGGTCGATCGGGCAAGGTGACTTGGTTGAGAATGTTGCTTGGCCAGGACGGCTTACAAGCCGCAGTGATATAGTGTTGAATTCACTCAACCGCAAAATGATTATGCAATAAATATGAAATATGCTAAATTATTACGTTAACATTGATTTCCATTACTACTGGCGACAATACAGCATATTAGCAGACTGAAATCAAATATGAAGAAATATAAACAGCTAATAACTAATGCATCACTAATATTCATGTATAGTATACGAACGAGGCCTGTTGTTTGACCTTGAAAACAAACGTTAGCCACCTTCTATGAGGTTTGCTGCTACAAAAACTGCTGCATGACGTTAAATAAATGTAATTAAAGAACGATATGTGAACGTAAACATGCACATTGCAGTCAGGTGTGACATCCAGTTGTTATGAAATGAAGTACACACGATAACTAATTATCCAAATGCAGATATGGGCGGTTGGTTAGCCCAGTAGTTAAAGCGTTCGCTCGTCACCCCGAAGGTTCCCTACATGTGTGAAGCCCGTTTCTGGTGTCCTCCGCCGTGATGTTGACGGAAAATTGCTAAAAGCGGCGTAAACCATGCAGACTTACTAACTCCAATGCAGATGGTCGAGAACTGCGATAAAAAATGAACTTCGTTTTGTTGATCAGCAATCCGATATCCGATTTCATAATCTCTAAAGAAATGCCAACATCCCTGATCTAAATATTACTATAAGTTTGGCATGAAATGCATGTGGACCCGGTGTTTTGTAAATATCTCATCCAATGATCCAATCGATCTCAAACTGTGCAAGTGGATGTTTTGTCAGACAACCTAATCACATTGTAAATCACCGATTTTATGCATTTGTATTAAAGAATCTGTCTATGTAATTGTCAACAAAATAAACAGCAGAACGCAGACGGCTTGCAGAGGGAGGGAGCCAATGACCTGTAACAGCGGCAGTGATGGGTCAGAAAGGTCACTGCACGTGCAGTTCATGATAGTTACCTGTGCACTGCACAGTGATAGACAATTTGGATCATTCACATTGACTACTTCTAGCTGTCATCATGAAATCTTATTCAGATGATGCTAAACGTTTAATTAGAAATGTGTTGAATTTTTTTTAAAAAGAGAGCAAACGTAGCAAACCGATTTATAAGGTGTCTGATTACATGGAACGTACAACTTTTGCTCTTGGCATGAAAAACCAACACCCAATAAACAAAACCTTGTAAAAAAAGGTAGGCATTCAAAGTTAGATTCTTTTGACATCAGGGTCATCAGAGATGTCATTCGCCGACTATTTGCTAGAAATGAACACCTGTCCACAAGAAAGTTAAAACACACCCTTGCAGAGGATCACGACATTAATGTTTCTAGGTTTATGCTAAGCAAACTACTGCTCAAATTTGGATACAAGTACAAGAAGGTAGCAAACCAGAAACTTGTAATGTGTGAGAGATCTGATATTGTGAAAAAAAGGTGTAACTATCTGAGAGAAAATAAGCAGGCAAGAGAGGATGGGCTCGAACCTATATATCTGGATGAGACCTGGGTCAATGCAAACCATACTGCTGCCAGACACTGGCTACCCACTGATCCCAGTGATGGTAGTAACATACCAACAGGCAAAGGTGAACGTTTAATCGTTCTTCATGCTGGTTCCCACCGTGGATTCCTACCTGGGTGTGATCTGGTATTTCGGCCAAAGAGCACAGATGGTAGGGACTATCATACAGAGATGAACTCAACGGTTTTCACACAGTATGTTGAGGAACAATTGTTGCCAGCTCTGCCTTACAAAAGTCTTGTTGTCATGGACAATGCTCCCTATCACAGTGTTCGATATCCAAACAATACGTGCCCAACTTCCAATACAAAGAAGTCAGATATGCAGCAATGTCTAACAAATAACAATATACAATTTTCAATTAAGGCCACTAAACCACAGTTGTACTCTTTGATTAAACCTAACAAACCTCCACCCACATATAACATTGACAACATGCTACGCCAACACGGCCATAAGGTCTTGAGATTACCACCGTACCACTGTGATCTCAACCCAATCGAACTTATCTGGGGAGACCTTAAAAGTACAGTGGCCCGGAAAAATCAATCATTCAAGTTGAATGATGTCAACACTGACTAATTCTAACGACTTATAGCGTAACATGAAACACTCATTTCACATACAATTATGTAAGTAGTATGTTCACATGTTGAAGAGGGCTGTTGAGAAATGTAGCAAGAAATGAGTGAAGCATTTGAGAGTAGATAATATCGATGTTAAACAATGACATCTGCAAAACGGTAACAAAGATTCTGACAATATCGAAGCTGTCAACTATTTGTTTGCTTGTACATTGCAGGAGACCCAAAAGGAGTGATGTTGACACACGGCAACTTTGCTGCAGAGCTCGGTGGATTTTTGTACGGAATAAGGGTAAGAATGAACAGCTGTATGTCAACGTGGAACATGTTTCTATGTGTTATGAAGAGTTGTTTTCTTTGAAGTGACAAAAACAACTTCGACCTTTCTTTCCATCGAAATATCTTTAAGAGGACAACTGAAAAATACTACTCATCTCCTTCTTAGCTGAGGAAAGTGGCTCTGTTTGTAGTTGTGACATCGACATTTTGTCAACGGTAGTCTTTATTACACAGAGGCACTCTAAGGCCACTCGGTCAAGTGTATAAAACGGCGGGAATGGGGGTTTACAAGACGTCGTGATATAGCTGGAATATGATCTATGTTGTTAGACAAAGACCAATTATTATAAATAACATTTATTACTAGATGATTGAAATTGTGATATGCAGCCATACAATAAAGATTAAAAATTAAGAAATAAAAATTAGGAGAATACAGTTAACAAGTACTTCGCTTCGCTGCAGTTAACAGTGTAGAGTTGTCTTCCTTTGTCGTCACGGGATACACTGAGCATAGATTCGATCCGGTTAGGATCAGTGCTGAGTCAACACATTTGTGGTTTACAACAAGTATTAAACGTCTATACCCGTTATATCTGGCATTTTCCTCCCACAGTACCGGGTTAGAATTGATCTCCAGTAACCCATTCTTGTCGTAAGAGGCGACTAACGGGATCGGGTGGTCAGGCTCGCTAACTTGGTTGTCACATGTCGTCGTATCCCAGTTATGCAGATCGATGCTCATGCTGATGATCACTGGATTGTCTGGTCCAGACACGATTATTTACAGACCGCTGCCATATAGCTGGTATATTGCTGAGTGCGGCGTTAAACAACAACCCAACCCAATTCCATAGTAAGCTGAAACATCATCATATTGATAAAACAATGTTGAAATTAAGTGAAAGCCTGTGATAAGAAGATCAATGATAAACTTGTAGAGTAATCATCAGTGTTCCAGCAAGTTCTTCCAAATTAATGTTTGTGAAGAATGAACTATATTTAAAGTGTTACATTCATTTCACGGCCTACAAGTTGGACGTGTTTGGCATAATCAAGCCACTTTTGATCTGTGATGAAGTTGATGATCGATTATCAATCCGCTGTGGGGAAATTCTGACAGCATATAGAGAACGGTTTTCAGATGGGCAATTCAGATGCATTCAGCCATGTATAACGTGTCTCGACCTCCTTTTCGGAGAATTCCGATTTATGACATTTTGTTTCTCCTGACAAATGTCTTCGTTGACATCGTCATCATCTCACGGAGCTGCTTGAAGCAGAATCCTCCGCGGAAAGTGTAAACGTTTGAGTAATTTAAATAGGAGATGCTGTATGAACGAAATCAAGTGACTGATTATAATTTGATGAAATTAAACTGATTCATATGGACGCGTGTATTGAATCTCGTGGTGATGAATCGTTGTGATTATTGAAAACTTGAATATGTTAAGCCTGGGGACGCTTGTCATGTTTTGTGCGTGCGAGCAATACACCCGTGCCTCACATGGGGTGTCAAACTGACCTCCAGCATTCGTTGTGCAGAACGATGTCCAGGGTAACCTGGCACAAAGCGATCTTGTGCAAGTGATAAACTGTGTCATTTAATAAGATAAATATACTGAGCACATATATAATAATGAGAGATGAGGGAAAAAACACTAACACTTTCTCAAATGAAGATTAAAATACAGCTTATGTATGATACATACTTCTGTACTTTATGTATTTCGCTTTTACTTGTAAAGGAATTATGTTCGTCGGTCTGGGTAGTTTAATCACCACAGACCTTGATGTCGATGTATTTGCTAATCACACATGACATGTTCTGAGCAGTATGTTACATGGCATTTCAGCTCTTTGAGGGCTGTAGTGATTAAACTACCCAGACCGGCGAACATATTTATTTACAAGCAAAACCGAGACACGTGAAGTACAGAAGTGTGTATCAAGCCGAAGCTGTATATTAATTCTACTACATGTGAGAAAATGTTCGTGTTTTGTTCCCTCATCTCTCATAATTTTGCATACGTGCTCTGTATATTTCTTTTTAAATGACACAGTTTTTCACTGTCCTTGTCGTCTGACATTTAGGCAGACAACAGAATGCTGACTGTTGGAGATTTTTCACTCTGTCTGGATTCCGATTAAAGCAAAAATGTAATTGCGTCTATGCAACGAACTATTAGTCAAACGCCTTTCGCACACAGAAAGTATATGAACATCAAACGCTTTAGATGTCATTTTTAGGTTCAGATTTAAGCTTACTTGGTTTCCTTATAGCCAAGGTCGTCGGTGCGGTTGGGTAGCCTAGTGGTTGAAACGTTTGCTCATCACGCCGAATACTCGGGTTCGATTCCACACATGGGTACAATGTGTGAAGGACATTTGTGGTGCCCCCCGCCGTGATATTGCTGGAATATTGTCAAAAACGGCGTAAAACTAACCTCACCCACTATAGCAAAGGTTGGTTATGTTGAAACTGTGACCCAATCCTTGTGTGGATTTGGCGACATAATCGCTGCTTCGTCAGTCAGTTATTGGCGGTTATGTGTTATATATATATATATATATATGTGTGTGTGTGTGTGTGTACACACTACTCACACTTTGATAAAGATCACACAATTTTACTTAAACGTAGATTTATAATTTGTAATTGTATCCATTTAAAAACTGGATGAATAATAATATGGTAACCCCTCTTTAGGCAGACAGCCACTTCATTCTAACCGTATGCACTTGATACATGAGTAACCATGAAAATGGTTTTCATGGCTCCAATCAAGCACTTCGCAAATCATGGAACGAGTCATTGACAAATAAACAACACTTGTCAATAGCAGGTATGGGATCCGCAAGATGCAATGACATACTGAAACCTAGGAACCATGCTTACAGCAAGCTTAGATGTTTAAACCAAATTTGACCTCACATCATAGTTTTCTGTTGAATCCATGATTTGATCCTTAGCAAAGTGTGAATAGTATCGAACCTTGTTGAATGAGACATGAACATTTTGTCCCTCGCTCTAAATTTGTTTACAATAGGAAGAGTCGTAATTTTCTATCCCATGGTTGATCGGATCATTGTGGCTGTCACGTCGTCAGTCAGTCTCCCAGACCCCAGAGAAAAGACATTGAAAAGAACTTCAACTCAAGTCTATGACTAAGCACGTCTGACTGACTCAGGTGTAGGAAATAAAAAATAGTTGAGTTTTACGTATACAATTGTTTTGGTGCAAATAAATATAATAAAATAAGATAACCTCATATCTGTGATATATAGTCAGTCTAAAGCACTCGAATTCGCTTTACAGAGTAGTGTCCCTTTGACGTGGCCGATCAGCGTTATCGACGGTTCGAATGCCCTACCCGCCTGTTAATATTTCAATCTTTGTCGGTAGCCCACCTCATACTGACGCCCCGGTATATTAACAGTTCTAAACGCTGTTCAAAGCGATGATAAATCCACTCACGCACTCAAGCTGGTTGAGCTCTCTATGGAACACTGTCTGACCTTCACAACTGTAATGCTCTATCTCGACAGGCTCAGTCTTAAAGCTAATTACCTCGACAATAAGAAGCCAAAATCTAACGAGGTTGATCACATTAGAACAGCGTCACCTACATACATACACCCCTGAACAGCATCCTATTTTAAGATTGTTCTCCAAATTGCTTCCTATAACAGGCTACGAGGCTGCAGCAGCTAACACCAACGTTTAACATCTGCAGCCGTATCCAGCAATACGATGATGCGGTCACGCTTTCATTACCTTATACGCGCATTATTTGAACTCGTCACCGTGTTCGACAAATCCTTTCCTAATACCACTCTAAATATTATTAGATCCCAATATGACGGGTGTAAGTCTCCAGTTGCTATCGACGGACATTGATTCTGCTGTTCCACTAAGCTCCAAATCAATTTAAATGTGGGTTGATTGACCGATGGTCATTCAAAGATGACCGTTGTAATCCTGGTCAGGGGGAATCTCGTTATCGCCGAGCTTCATACATTCTGCAGTTGCTTGCACCTGCGAGTCAAGGCCACATCCGCCGTTCAGCTTTCGCGAGTTCTCAAATGGGTTAGGCGTTTTATTTTTTTTGTTATGTTTTACGGATGAATCGATCCTCAAACAGAAAGAATGTCGAATGAAATAATACACTAATGTCTTGTTAAAGCTTGAAAATCGTTTCAGAAATTTCCTGCCCGAAATTGTTAAAAATCTTCTAATTCTCAATAACCCATAAATGCTAGCTTTATTGCTTTTCATAGCTTTTCATAGCTTCCCCGTATGAAAGTAGATGTTTTTTTCGAACGCCATACAATTTTAATATACCTCTAACATATTACAGAAAATGACAATGAAAACTCGAGAATTTGGAAGCTGGTTGACACATGTCATCGTATTCCAATTGCATGGATTGATTCTCATGCTGTTGATCACTGGATTGTCTGGTCCGGGCTTGATTATTTACAGATCGCCGCCATATAACTGGAATAACAACAAAATAACATCTCAGAAAAAAAGGTTCTAAAACTGAACGGCCTTACCTAGAAGCCGAGTTGTCTTTATGAACTTGCACCATTATGACGGACAAAGACCCCACTGGCCTGACCACTGGTGTGAGTTATACCATGTGATTATGTCTGCCGATAAGAGGAATGAACGACTCAGTATTCATATGACTGAACACATAACGACTGTCTCGCGTTGGTCATGCGGGCGATTTGTTAATGAAGCTTCCTGTAATACGGATCTAAATCTGTATGGGTCTTACAGCATGTGAGGCGCGGTGCGGTAACCTAATGGCTCCAAAACAAATTAGCATGCTTTGAATTTCCTCCTCTGTAATATTTAATCCCATTTCAACTAACTGGTATGCACATTTAACTATTCTACGTATACCTGCCTAGGGGTTAAAGCGTCCGCTCGTCACGCCGAAGACGCGGATTTGATTCCCTACATAGGTACAAAGTGTGAAGATCATTTCTGGTGTCCTCTGTCATGCTGTCGCTGGAACATTGCTAAAAGCAGCGTAAAACTATACTCACTCACTCCCAGGACATGTAAAACGAGTGGGTGTCTGCATTGTTCTAAAGATACAAGCACATCGTTTCAGCCTCATGACACCTGTAGTTTCTGAGGTGTTTACAATGGTGTTTGGATAGAATTTAAGAGCACGTTTAAAAATATAACAGTCAAATTAAAAGAAAGTTATCTCTAAGGAGGTGAAATTAAAACCAGCCAATGCCAGCTCTCCGAAGTCCAGTGAAGAATTGTAAATAGATGTGTCTGGTTCAGCCTTATCCAACCTCGCGTCATTCGTATTATTGTTGCTGGGATGCTTATCATGTTGTGATTTATTTAGGTATTTCAGAAATATATTAGTTCATCGTTTATTCAACCTGTAACCCCTATGGCGGAAGAAGCCCGTGAAGATCCGGGTTAGAATTGATCTACAGTTACCGATGCTTGTCGTAAGAGGCGACTAACGGGATCGCATTGTCATTCATAGGTGTCAGTGACGACATTCAAAATACGTTTATTGAGCAATATACATCATGTAATGCAATAGTGTCGAAATATCCAATTGTGTATCATCAGTGACTAGTTGTCATCAACATGTGTCCCTGTCTTCCAGGAAATTTTAGACTTTGGCCCCGATGACTGCCATCTGTCTTACCTCCCCTTGGCTCACCTGTTCGAGAGGACAATGCAAATGGTCATGCTTCATGGAGGCGGGTATATCGGCTTCTACTCAGGGGACGTAGCTCTGTTGATAAACGACATGCAGACTCTAAAACCTACGATATTTCCCACGGTACCCCGACTTCTCAACAAACTGAGAGACAAGGTTGGTACATGTTTGTCTGTGAGTCTTATTGAAAACATTGTGTTGAGGTTTTATATTTTGTTTTTAAAAATAACATTGAAATATAACATTTCAACTGAAAAATATAAGTTGGGAAAGTATGATGCTTTATCCATGACAACATCATTATTATGATGCTACATTTCTGTATAGATTCTTATGCCGTTGTCACTCTTGCTTGACATGGGTATGAACTCCTTACTGAAACGTCGCATCATAAATTGTCATAAAGAAAGTATCATGCCTTTTATTATCCATCAATTTCTAAAAGTCCAAAGCAATAAGATCAAATATTAGGACATCTTTAAAAGTTTGGTCTTATAAAAATAATTTAATGTATATGGGATTCTTTCTTTTGGATTGCAAAGGAGCAACGTCCTTTCCCATATTTCTTCTTTTTGAACCGTCATTTAGCTTGAAAACAAAAATCGAGAGGATACACTGAATTTTACTCCACATCTTAACAATGTTTAATCTGAAATATGAACTGTACGTCTATATTTTATAGAATTGCAATAAATTCGTTTCCATACAAACGCTGTATCAATGTTCGCTCTGAACAAAGGAATGTAAATCAAATCAGTCAAGTCTAAATGAGTCCAAGCTAATATTTACATGACTAAGCTATGTAACAGTGAGGGTGTATCTTTTGTTTGTAATTAAGTGATTTTTCAATGACTAATGATACAACACGTTCAGTGACCAATGTTACACAGAACACTTTCTTCAGTGACTAATGTTACACAAAATACTTTCAGCGACCAATGTTTCGCAAAACTCTTTCAGCGACCAATGTTGCACAGAACACTTTCAGCGACCAATGTTGCACATAACACTTTTAGCGACCAATGTTACACAGAACACTTTCAGCGACCAGTGTTACACAAAAGACTTTCGGCGACCAATGTTACACAAAAGACTTTCGGCGACCAGTGTTACACAAAAGACTTTCGGCGACCAATGTTACACAAAATTCGGCGACCAATGTTACGCAAAATACTTTGAGATTAAGTGTTTTTTCAATGACTAATGATACAACACTTTCAGTGGCTAGCGATACACAGAAGACTTTCTTCAGTGATTAATGTTACAAAGAACACTTTCAGCGACCAATGTTACACAGAACACTTTCTTCAGTGACTAATGTTACATAAAACACTTTCAGCGACCAATGTTTCGCAAAACACTTTCAGCGACCAATGTTGGCACAGAACACTTTCAGCGACCATGTCACACAGAAAACTTTCAGCGACCAATGTTTCGCAAAACACTTTCAGCGACCAATGTTTCGCAAAACACTTTCAGCGACCAATGTTGGCACAGAACACTTTCAGCGACCAATGTCACACAGAACACTTTCGGCGACCAATGTTACACAGAACACTTTCGGCGACCAATGTTACACAGAACTCTTTCGGCGACCAATGTTGCACAAAATACTTCCAACGTCCAGTCTTACACAAAATACTTTCGGCGATCAGTGTTACAAAGTACACTTTCAATGACCAATCTTAAGCAGAACACATTCGGCGACCTATGTTACACAACATTTAGGTAAACGAATGTCCTTCACTGCTCAGGTGTACGCCAGTGTGAAGAACAGCACCATCAAGTCCTGCCTGCTGCACTGGGCAGTGTCCAGCAAACTGAGCGAGGTCAGGAGGTAAGTACTTCATTGTTAAAAGCATAGTGGACAATATGTACTTTCCTGACCACCAACCTCTGTTTTCTCGAGGCAATAGCTTCTATCCCTCCCCGGTACTGACTGCACTTTATTCACTTTTCTTCCGATAAACATCCCCTAATTCTGCAAATTACGTTTTCTCAAAGAACAAATAGTAAATTGAAGTTGTAAAGTTTTTGAAAAGGACCTCTACCTAACATATTCATGAATGAGATGAAATAGGAAATACACGTTTTGGCTTTATCACCGCGTTCATCAGTCAGTCATTAAACCAGTCATTCACAATGTGTTACATAATTGCGTTCATGTCTGTTACAGAGGCATAGCTCGCCGAGACAGTATATGGGACAAACTGGTCTTTGGCAAGATCCAGGCTATGCTTGGAGGACGGGTGGAGTTAATGATAACAGGATCGGCTCCAATACCCGTAGAAACTCTCGACTTCTTCAAGTGTGCCCTTGGCTGCATGGTAAATATTGACCTACCCCAACACGACCACTCTTTTTCTCCAGGAAAACCCATCTCCAGTGACACATGAATTGTTTTGTTTGTTTGTTGTTTAACCCTGCACTCTGCAATATTCCAGCTATATCTCTGCGATCTGTAAATAATTAAGTCTGGACCAGACAATCCAGTGATCAACAGCATGAGCATCGATCTACGCAATTGGGATACGATGACAGGGTCAACCAAGTCAGCGAGCCTGACCACCCGATCCCGGTATTCGCCTCTTACGACAAGCATGGGAGGCCAATTCTAACCCGCATCTTCACGGGTATAGTGACATATATGTTAATTCTTACGTAATAAACATGAGGATGACGGCTACCCTTTTCACAATCAGGTTGCTGAAGGTTACGGTCAAACCGAGGCTGTGTCAGGTGTCACTGGGCAATTTCCGGGGGATTATACAACAGGTATGACACTGTATAACGGGGTACAGGCATATTAAATCCCCCTCAATAAGACGTCTTTAATTAAGACGTCAATAATTGTTACAAGATTAACACTTTGGTATAAAAAAAACAGTTTATCATAAAGACAGTTTAATTACATATTTGATGACCGTCGTTCGATATCTATCAATATATATTTATTTCCAATTTGATTCCTTATAATTGCGTCTTAATTTTTGACTCCCCCAAATTATCACTTACTTATGGAAATGTACTTCATAAGCATGTCGTTGGCGCTTTCTTTGAAATGTATTCATTCAAAACCAATTCTATTAATGTATATTTTTTTCGAATAAGTCTTTCGTGATTGTGGTTTCTCGTGTGTGTTTATATTAATCTATGTTATATACTGAGGGAAACAAATAAGGGAGCACCACTTCATGGCAGTGTTCCTTTATGTATTCTCAGATTTACTCCCACAGCGCTATTCACAGCTGGTGATGAACATTGGAAAATATGAAAGGAACACTTGAATTTTCCTGTGTTCCTTTATTTATTTAGTATGTTTAATAACAAACGAGTAAGCACGAATATTTCAATGTCCACAGGTCACGTGGGGTCACCGTTCGTGTGTAACTTGGTCAAGTTGGTGGACGTACCGGACATGAACTACCTGGCGTCAGAAAACAAAGGGGAGGTAAGCCAGTTCTTACCGTCGAAGCAATGCAATAGTCGGGCAGATTGATACAAGGCAACACCACGTTCTCGTGTCCTTGGTGTGCTTATACAACATTGTATTACCAGTCTACTACAGGAGACCATTTTACATCGATACGTACATGGACTGAAAACGCAAGTTCACGCCAAAATTGACATGAATGAAATATACCAAAGATCCATCTATGTTTAACTGGCAATATTTTTCAGAATTGTTTATAAATCTAAGATGCATTTGAAAAGTTCCTTTAGGATCATTATACGGACTTTAGTGCCACGTTTAATGCAAAGATTGAACACGGTAGAGGCATGGATTGACAAGATTGGTTTACAGGACATGTCTGGTTGCACTGTGTCACATCACCAGAGTTAATGGATCTGCTCTTCTTGGAAAAGAGTTTGTTTTTAATAAACCCCGTCACAGAACACTGGATGCCATCAGTGTATATTTTGCATTGACGCTTCTTGCGAATATTGATTACTCGAGTGTTTGGAGTGCTCAATAAAACCGCCATTTTAGTTTTTGTCCTTCAGAATATTCCTTTCAACTCATGTCTTGTCTTATCTCATTAAAGATACATGCTTGATTATATAACCTCAACAGGGTAGTGAGCTATCCAAATGATAGTATTACATTCAACATGTAAATATAATAGAATGATAGAGGAACATTTTGCATCATCAATACATACCCACTCCTCCAACACTATACGATGTCATGCATGCATTGATGGTATCTCCCCATAAGACAGACGCTTAAAACAATACATTTTATTGTTGGTTGCATAAGGCTTAATTAAGCTGTACCCTTGATAATAATGGTATGTGCCCTGATAAATAAGACAACATTAGGTATTAACTATAGTTTTATCAATTCATGTAATGAATTATTTTGGGGTTTTTAAATTAAGACATATTGCATGAACATATATGTACATCAACATAGATTTGCCAGATCACATTTACTTGTGAATATTATCAAAAACAAAATGTATATACGTGTACCTATTAAACATTTGAGACCAAGCCGTAAGTCCCAAAACATCAAAGTAAATTTAGCTCTACCAAACTTTTAATTGTAGTATGTTTGTTATATTTAATAATGGCTAAAACTCAGCATAATCGCCAGAAGCTGAAGGGATGGTGTAAATCCTGCTAGGGTCCATGCAGGTAGCAAAAGTACTGTAAATTCCCATGGACCCTAGTGTGGTGATCTACCTTCAGTTGTTGGTGATCTATAGCCCGTTTATATTTTGTACTGTCTATACTGATTTAATTTTCATGATAGCGTACTAGTTTTGAATTTATATCTGTGATGCTCTAGTATTTTTACTGTCCTTCGATGACAGCTTTTTATGTTCTAAATTTATTGATTTTAATATTGATATAAATTAACTTTTTCTCGTCACGATATTTCTGAAATATTGCCGATGTGACGCTAAATATTAACTCATTTACTCACTATGAGACCAAGCACCATATTACTTTACATCACATGTTTGTCAGTGCACAGATAACACTTATTGGAAAGTCACTTGAACATCATCATTTTCTCCTTTCACCATGTTCTTGGCATACAAGTAGCCATCTAGAAGGGTGAGCGAAAAAAAGGTCATTGGAAAAAAGTCATGGGAAAAATAATAAGTACTAAAAACATCCTGTTCTCCGGTTATTTGAAAAAACTAATTCAACAACAACAAAAAAGTCATGGGGAAAAATAAATATTATAAAACATCCCATTCTCCTTTTACTTTGTTTATACTGTATTTTATGAATACTATTTCACTTTCATCATCAAATAATCTTAAGTAATAAAAACATCCTGTTCTCCAGTTATTTTCAAAAACTAATTCAACAACAACTGTTATATAACATCCTATTCTCCAGTTATTTACACTTGTATTATACTTGAATAAATACTTTAATTTTATAAGTTAGGTTCAAATGTGGTTCAGAGAAACTGATGAGAATATTGTTATGACTTGTTGAATAAATACATTATCAATACTGATTTTTTTTTTAGTTTATGACTTATTTTCCTCCTCAAATCAATGAATTTTTTCCTATGACTGTTTTTCCTACAACCTCTAGAAGTGCTTGGGGCAGACATTTCTAGGATGGGACATGCTCTGCTCTTCTTAGGCCAGCTCATTAATAAAATAGGGGTGGACAGCGTGGCTCAGCTAGTTATTGTACTCATTGAGTCTGTCTTATGGGAGGTCTGTCTTTTGGGAGTGAACCGCATTGATATACATCTTGTCATGGTTGCATTGATATACATCTTGTCACGGTTGCATTGATATACATCTTGTGGCGGTTGCATTGATATACATCTTGTCGCGGTTGCATTGATATACACCGTGTCGCGGTTGCATTGATATACACCGTGTCACGGTTGCATTGATATACACCGTGTCACGGTTGCATTGATATACACCGTGTTATGGTTGCATGGATATGCACTGTGTCGTGGTTGCCTAGCATTGCACTGTCTTTAGAAGGTATCCATTTAATTCCTCCTCAGTGACCTGAAAAGTTTCCAGCTGATTGCTCTCCTGTTATATAACTGTCACCCCGTGTTCATTCCATCCCCCCACAACGTCCTTCGGGAGTCCACTACATATTTGATAACCATCTCTCTCTATCAGCTATCAACATCTCGCGAACACTTCCATGAACCTGTGAATGAATGACACAGTGACAACCATATTCAATTACCGATTGATATATGTTCCGTGTTTAAAAGCAATTTCCAAACAGCAAACTCATGCTGATGTTTGATGACAAGGGTCTGGCGTGAGTTCATTACATGTATGTACGTGGGGCGGTGGGGTAGCCTAGTGGTTCAAGCGTCCACTCGTCACTCCGAAGACCCGGGTTCGATTCCCCACATGGGTACAATGTGTGAAGCCCATTTCTGGTGTCCCCCGCTGCGATGTAGCTGGAATATTGCTAAAAGCGGCGTAAAACCATACTCACTCACTCATTATATACGAGGTCATTGTTTTTTGCAGGTTTGTGTGTACGGTCCAAATGTGTCGCAAGGGTACTACAAGAATCCCGAGAAGACGGCAGAGGTGATCGACAAGGATGGATGGCTACATACGGGCGATATTGGCGAGTGGCTTCCGGTGAGACTGTTATCTGTCGTGACAATCAATCACGATGTGCTTTGTCTATGACATTTTAATGTCGACACTGGCTGTTATTTAGTAGGCTGGGAGTGATGTAACGATGCGAGCGCTGAAAGCAATGGTTATCAATAATTAAACTTAGAGCAGTTAGTACCAGAGGAATAGTGGTAGCAGTGATGATAAATGTTTGCAGAAAAGAGACGGGTTAATTTTTTCACATTAACGGGACACATGACCAATTTGTCCAAGGCACTTGAATTCATCTTTGCAGATTTACGCCTCGAGGCATGCTATGTACCTTTGTGAAGCCCATTTCTGGTGTCCCCCGCCGTGACATTGCTGGAATATTGCTAAAAGCGGCGTAAAACTAAACTCACTCACTCACTATGTACCTTTGATCGTGGGTTCGATTCCTAGAGACGACATGGTTAAATGCCTCGGTTTGTTAGTACGGAACCTGCTTGTTTGTGGGTTTATCAAAGTGTGAACGACTAAGGCTACACTTTGCAGGCTTTCCTTCCTCATCAAGTTGACACACCATGGGTAACATAACAAAACGCGTTTGATTATATTGTGTTCCAATGTTAAGGAAAAACCCACTTGAGATTCTGAATCAAAACCTATGTCTGTTTTAAGAATCGTACAGTCCAGAAGCAGTTTTCAGGCTCTTTGACTACTACTGACAGTAGTATGAGTGAGTGTGGTTTTACGCCGTCAAGCAATATTCCAGTAATATCACGGCGGGGAACACCATAAAATGGGCTTCACAAATTGTCGGGAATCGAACTTTGATTTTTGGCACGGCGAGTGGATGCTTAACCATTATGCTTTCCCATTGCCCCCAAGAGTATTTTGAAAAAAACGATCCCTCGGTATTCCGTGAAGCTCACTTTGCCAATGTGACCAATTAGGCAGACTTTCACTCATATAACTGGTGCAACAGTGGGGTTCGACCATTGGTTTCTCTACTCCAAGTTGCACTGGTTACTTAAGCCATAGTAGCCTAGTGGTTAAAGTTTTCGCTCGTGGCACCGAATACCCGGGTTTGATTTGCCACATGGGTCCAATGTGTGAAGCCCATTTCTGGTGTCCCCTCCGAGACATTGCTGGAATGTTACTAAAAGCGGCGCCAAACCAAACTCATCGCTAGCAATCCGGAAAAAAATGTAATTAAAACATGTGGTTTCCTAACATCAATAATTTTGAGTGTTTAATGTATATAAAAACTTTGTAATTCTCTAGAGCGTCTGATTAATATGTCTGTGATCAGATGCCGCAACTCCAGAGATGGGATTCCGGTGCGAATTCAGTAGGCCTGTTATTGAGGAAGTAATTAGCTCACATAGAGGCACCCTCAAGGGGCCATTAAGAATTTATTTCTGTCGCGATGTAATGAAGTTGGGCTTGCTGTCAGTTGGAATCTAGGACAGGGGTTACAAGACTGTTTTTCTAACAACCAACTTGTCGTTCCTTTTGAACAACATTTCGAGTTTCTTGTCCTGGGCTTTTTTAGAACAGGATGCGATTGGGAATTTCGTGATTATCATTTAAGTAGGTGTAGATGAAAGTTGTATTACGCTGCCCTTGGCTCTATTCCAGTGTTACTACGATGGCTTGTAATAGTGGAATCTGGGTCAGGTGAACCAGTGGTTGATAGCTAGAGCAACCACGGATTCGAAGTATGATGAAACTGTACATGACTCATTGAGACCTCCCAATAGTCATTAATCGTTGACCTGTAAGAAGTCTGGGTTTGAATTCTTCCCCAACAGCCTATGGTGGTCGAATGTGGTGGCTAAGTGGATCAGGTGGTCAGGCTAGGTGATGATTGATAGCGTGTTCATTACCTGTACCGTGACCTGGTTAGCTTAGCCCTACGGCGTGGATCGTTGCTCATAACATCAATCACTGGTTTGTCTGATCCAAACTCGATCATTTACAGGCCGCTGCCATAAACCGGACATATTGCTGTGTGTGTGACATTATCTGCCCTGTTATCTCATACAGACATACATTTCTGTACCTACATCTTTACATGTTCATAGAAGTGGGGAATAATTATCAACTGGCCTATTGTGGAACGGTTTATTTCAAAACTGTTTGACAAGAAAAAAAGACCATAATTCTTTGCAAAATCCCAGTCTATTTTCGTTGCGACTTTTTCCTTTCGTTAAGGTAACTTAATTTGAAACTACCTTTCTTTACTGACAATGGGACTCATGAAGTAGTTTGTCGTCATGCCCTGAATCATAGACCATGGTTATTGGTCAACAGTGTTCCTGGTCCTGGGGCGGTATTAAAATAGATTTTCTCCCCGAGCCTTCAAATCTAAATCAGAAATATTATCACACATGCAGTCAATGAGATATTTACCTTTCAATATACTTTCAATAAATATTGAATGGGTTTAGGGGAAAATATATAACTTTGTATTTATTTTATAACTGTAGTAAGTGTAAAATCTAATAAAAGCTGATCATGGAACAAAAGGTCGTAGTATGATGGGGAAACGAAATTGAAGTCGTAACGTAACGTTGTCTAAATGAAAACATAACATAAGTGGTGGTTGTCATTAAAAACACGAATTTTGACGAACCTCGTACTTATGATTGTTTGTTGTACCAGTTGTTAAATCGCCTCAACTGTGTTTTCAATGTGTGCCCGGATGGAAGGTCTTTGGTTCGATTCCCAGCCGCCTCTCACCAAAAGACGGTATTTTGGAGATGGTATTTGTTGTTTCCCTGCCTTGGTAATAACGGGATAGGACAAGGACTGGACTAGTATAATGTGTTGGGTATCAATGGCAGACTGGCAATGAATGTACGTTGTCTAGCACTACGAACGTCTCTACTAATACAAGCAACAACCACACGCACGCACGCACGCACACGCACACACATATGCAAGTCATTTATGAATCAGTCGTTATAGTCGACTAACATCCACAACTTCCAGTCTCCACGAATCTATAATATATCCCTATTTTCCTCCTCAGAACGGCGCTTTGAAGCTGATCGACAGGAAGAAGCATATATTTAAATTGGCACAGGTAAGAGAATAAAATCCCTCTCGGCCATTGTGAGATTTCTGGATATTACCTCATCTGGCATTCTTTGCACTTCTGTAAAGTTCATTTACTGACATTTAAAACTGTTTACTGCTTATATCCGGGGACTTCACCAACGTTGTAAGCGTCGGTGAACAGGGTCATTGAGGGTTTTTTTAACTAAGTCGGCGTTATCTAACTGAAATATTGTTCCAAGCGACATAGAATCCAAAGCATTTATGGATGATTTCGAACATCCTACGCACAAAGAAACAATATGTTTTCGAACGTGTAATGTGTTTCTTTGTAGAACCGTGACATCAATCGAGAAAAACTGATTCGTAGCCATTGTGCCGTTCTAATCCGTATAGAAGAAAGCGGCTTTAACGCAAAAACTAGCTCCAAGAGGAGTCTTATACGATGGGTTATATTGCTGCAGTAATGACGTGAATCAGTGAGTGTGTCTAATGCGTTAAGCGGAGCGGGATGAGCTGATTACCACAAGCCCCTAGCCTCATTTACCCGTGTTTGTCGCTCTAGGGGGAGTACGTGGCCCCGGAGAAGATTGAGGCCACCTATGTTCGGAGCGAGTTCGTGGCCCAGGTCTTCATAGATGGTGACAGCCTAAAGGTAGGTAATCCAATAACAAATGTCTCGAGTGGCCGATGGGAGACGTGTTCTGCTGGACTGCTATGACTTCTATGTCTCCGTTCCACTAAGAGAACCATAGCTCTACGCCTTCGTAAATCTACGTGAACGTATGTTGTTATGCATGGGATTTTCGATCACCTTAGAGCTACCATCACTTTGAGGAACGGGCCCTTGGGGACAATTATATATTAGATAGGTTGATGTACTTTGGTCCTTGGATCACCATGCGAATATATTTGGCAAAATTTCAATGTGGGTTTGATTTGTATCCTGAAATCGGTACGTAGTATTTTCGCACTGGCAATGGCTTTGGTAATTGTGACATTGGCATGTTCGTTTGAAATGGTCCGTACGTCAGCCAGACTGGTGTGTTTTGTATTGTGAATAATACTGTGTAAGTATATTAATGCTTACCTATGGTCATGTGGAAACGGGTGCCAATGCTTGTTTGCTTCTCTGACGCATCAGGATCCTGGAATCTCGGTGTGCGTGTGTCAACCATTTAGGGAGTTCTGTCAATATAAACCGTCAACACCAGGGAATAATCAGTCTAGATTGTCCTCAGAAACAGATTCCAACTGGCGTTAATGGCAAAATAGCCGTGAAAATTAAATGAACTGATCACTCGCGGAATGGAAAAACATGTCCTGTGAATGTTTTGTCCGCAGATACGTTTGGCTTTCTGAAAATACCACATTAAAACTACACTTTTAAACCTTTGTATACAGAGATCGGAGAGTTAAAACTTAATCACAGAAAATCAAATGCTAAAAAGATTATATTTTCTGACAAAAAATGTTGCATCGATTATGACAAGCCCCAGTATATCTAAATGGGATCAAAATTGTGTTAACCTTTTTTTACAAAAAGTCTTATTTAAAAATCCCACTTTAAAAAAAGGTCATAAAAATACAATGCCATTTTGGACTTTTAAGGTTTATCAGGCAACGTGATCAGCAGTTACATTGCACCTTTAAGATAGAATCCAGAATTAAAAATTCCGTTAATGGATCCAGGTTTGTGACCATAATGGGATTGGATTACGAAAAACGCATACAAAGTGGAACAAATCAATTTGTATTCTTCCTACAATCTCCTGAGAAAGCAAAGGAACAAGGCCTCTCAGGCCTTAAGTAGAAACAACCGAACTCAAGGTTAAAGCTCTTGGCTTCAAGAATCTCCTGAACGTATTTTGTGACCACGTTCTCGAGGATAATGATTCCAAGCCAGAAGTCATGGGTTTCTCCAAGAATGTAACCGTCTGTAACCTGTTCACATTGGTCTTCCCTCCCATTTCGAGTTATAAAGTGGGAGGATAGACTAAGGTTTCTTTTTTCCGATCAAGCTTAAACCTTTTTAACATTTAAGTTCCACCATAGCTGTTGTCACTTTTATTACTTTTGTCTTTTTTATTCTCAGTAATTCGTGCCAGTACCGTAAATTCGACGAGTTCTCCATCGATAGCCTGTCATTTGAAAATTTTTTTTTTAAATTTTAAAAACACTTTCCATACTGACCTATTTTTTGGAGTACTGCGCCACGCGCAGCGTTAAGCTGGGGACAGACAGTTTTATATAACACGTCCCAATTTAATTGTGGAAACTCAAAACGCCAGAATCTCTCCGCACTGTGGCCAGTTTCTGACAAAAGATTTGACATAATTCAACATGCAGTTATCATGAATATATGCTATGGATGAAAGAATGTTTTCCAAACCTCAAAATTTAAAATACCTCGCCCATGGGCCGGCCCTTGAAAGTATGTTAATACGTATCATGACACATAGTTTTAACTCATATATTTTAAATTGTGAGTGGCAAGTGATATCGGTACTTATTACCCTTTTCACAAACACCTTGTGTCATCGCTAACTTTCAGTGATCAATTCATATAATGTTCCCCACTATTTTCCCATTTATGCCCAGATCAATCTGTTTCAGAAGATAATCGAAAGTGATGGCTCTAAAGTTTTATGTTTAAATAAAAACCAAACACATTTATTCGTTTGACCTTGAGATGCCACGCTGTGATAAACAGACCGAAAAACGCCATTTTGTACAACTCACTCACTCGTTTTTCGTAGCTTCCTGACGGTAATTGACACGTAGAATGTCAAGTCGGGATTGGCGTTTTTTTCATGTTTTACCCATCCATGAGTATGGCATGAACAACTAAACTCCGTGATGCAATTTAGTGAATCAGTGTTGCCGGGCGAACATTGAAAATCAATAAACTAAGATCCAAGCTGTGGAACCTGGTTTAAACCACGTCTCATGTTAAATGATATAACGAGCGCCAATCAAAATAGCTTGCCTTGAACATGCACGACAATTCCAGGAACCGGCATTATCTATTCTTGTCATCCCACGGGATAGCATCCCATTTTGAAAACTTCCAGTCTAATTCTGAGTGAAAGTCTTATCAGACTCTTTTTTTAGTGATACATGATTATAGACAAATCACTAGAAATGTCGGTTACTGGGATGGGATTCTTTTATAAGCAAGGGAAAACACATTTCTAAAGAGTTCAAAAGGTACTGGTTCTTTTCTGAGATCACGTTTCTCTTACAGCCCGGGCGTAGTGGGTCGCCTTGATCTCATATGTCACCTCCATGTACAGCCGACTGGATGGCCAAAATGTCTTTCAGGATGTCCTTGGGCATGGAATCGGGATCGACTTTTCACTATCTATTCGCGAAAAAGTTTGCTTCCCCTCCGGTGGTATACGTCACAAACACATGCCCAGACAAGTCAAGTTTAACGAACGGGAACGTGTAAATATAATTACAACCAGCACCCTCCTGGGATCGCCAGACCCTTATCAATTTGGAACTGTCTTCCATGTGTTTTCGTAAATCGTTTTGAATGCTTTACTATGAATGAACGTTGTAACCCTGATCAAAGAGTAAGTGTGTTTTGTTTTACGCCGTTTATAGCAATATCACGGCAGGGGACACCAGAAATGGGCTTCACACATTGTACTCATGTGGGGAATCGCACCCGGGTCTTCGGCGTGACGAGCGAACGCTCAAACCACTTGGCTACCCCACCGCCCCCTTGATAAAAGACCGTTTGAGTTGGAAACATAAAATATCTTGAAAGGGCGTGCTGGATTGTACACCAAAAGGTGGAAAATGTAGACACAAATGGCTTAGCTGGGGGGATATTGCCGGACGTGAAGGAGGGAGTTATATAGGGGAATATAAAAAAAATCATTATTCATCTTTTCATATGGTCTTGTAGAAAATATGTCTAGACATTCAGTATCTTTATACAACATAGCAGTACAGGTGATCATTGAAATACATTTCACAGTGTAGCTTCAATGACCACTTGCTCAAAGCGATCATATATCATTTGGCACTGTCGCAAAGAACATTTTGGCATCAACACGATGAAGGCCTACATGGCGGATCACGTGTTGCATTGCGAACCAGACTATACCATACACGATGTACATATAAAGTGTCGAGTCATGTTTTAGAGCCTCGTGTTTTGTTTAAAATGTAATATTTATGGTTTTGTGCAAAAACAAGGGCTCCTAACTATTGGTTTCAAGTATCACACACAAACAGACATAATTACAGGCCGTGTTAATGCAAACATTGCGAACCATCTGCAAATATTGCTTTCGCAAGAAATTATTGAATCTGAATGCTAACGACTATGAGCTATACCAACATGAAGTCTCTAAACATATTTTACGGAAAAACAGTTGTTGAATATATAGTTTGATGCCAGTCAAGAGACTTCCTTTGTCGCTAGAAACTGCAGTAATCTCGGCTTGCCAAATATTACAGACTGTTTTATTGGCTGTTCCATATGTAGTTATTTCTGTGAGGGATGATGTAAGAACGCGTCTTGTACTATACGAACTCTATGACAGCCAAACTCTTTTTAGCTGGACTGTTTAATTATTGCATTTTATAGCTAAAACACATGGAATCATCATGAAACGGCCCTCCTATTATCAGAAATTTGCGGGCCTCTGCAAATGATATTGGACCGCTCAACCTTAACGACGGGCCACTATCAGTTCTGTTGTCAAGTGACGTCATAGTGGGTGCGTCGGTTCATTCGACATTGGCTTTGGACTGGCAGATATTCTGGGTCAAACAAGTTAAAGCAACCCGAATTCCAGCTTTAAATAGCTATAATATTGGCTTTCTTGCTTGTGCTAACCATAACAATTGCACTATTAACGTTGTTGTTGGACCAAAACCGAACACTGACATAGTTTGACATGTTGCAGACTATGGTCTTGTTAAAGGCCAAGGTCGAATATCGTCACTTTCTGTTGTGACGTCATTTGAATTGTTCGATGACGTAATTGCATTCGGGCAGTCAGAAGTTGGTTTTGAGTAAACTTACAGTCAAATTCCTTCATTGTTTCCTTTTTCTTTTCAACACAAATTCCATGTATTTTAGCAATAATAACGGTAATGCTATTTTTGAGGGCATTATCATTTGCAGAAGCCCTCGGTCTTTTTCAACTCAGTTAATGGAAGACCGCGGGCTTCTGCAAATGATAATGCCCTCAAAAATAGTACCCTTATAATGTCTCGAATCGAGAGGTTGGCTTCACAAAGCGTACCAATGTTAGGAATCGAACCAGGTTCTTCAGTCGATTAACCACAAGGCTACCCGGCGTTATTATTCTCGATTGTTTTCGCCGTACAACCAGTGTCATAGCTCGGTAATCGTTTAGTACCACTGGACCCTACAAAACAAATACGATCGGTGTGCAGAATGTAACAGTTGAAATGTCTTGATGACAAGTTTGTGCTTAACGGCAATCCGTAGCTCCTTAAGTAGCATTGATTGTCTAACGGGGAAGTTCTTGCAGTGGCAGTAGGATACGTGTCAAAGAATGGTTCCTTAGTACCGTCTTTAAGAGACTCCGGAGTCTCTTAGTTCCATGATTAAGTCGAGCTTCTCGCCATCTGAATCTCGGCAGAATAGTTCCGCAAACGTTTTTCCTTTCCTTACAGAGACCTGGCTTTTAACATCCAGCACCCTCCTGGGATCAGCACACGGTGCGCCAGACCCTTATCAATCTACGGAGATCGAGACCCCATTTGTACGGGATCTGTCAAACGTGTGATCCAATTATTATCAACACAAGGCTCCCAATATATTTCCCTCTTGTAGGAAACTCGAGTCGGTCAATGTCGCCCGCGTGAAGCTGAGAGGTCTACTCTTAATTATCGCCAAGCACATTCAATAGTATTGCCTTTACTTGAAGAGAGCCAGATACTCGAATACTGGTTTCGATGTGAAAGATCACCTGATTTCGTGATACCTTCAGCAGAAGAAGCCGAAATTAATATGGCTTTTCTAAACTCCGGTCATGGCCAACCAAGATAACACAAACGCTGGGATAAGACCCAAGGTTTAGTGTCTGGAAGCTGGACCATATGTGGCACTGCATTAATGGACCGTAATAAGTGATAGATAGCTCAATTCCAAGCCGCAATTCGGGATACTGTTGTGTTGATAACGTATTGCGGGACATGTGTTGCTGGATATTCCTCGTATACAGAGATGTAAGGAAACTAGCCTTGTTCCATGAATAAAATGCTGGAACTGTCTGTGGAGAAGCATGGGTAGACTCTCCATGACGTATTAACGGAATCACTGCTCCCAACTGCATACGTGATTGGTATTTACAGGAATTCGGTGTCTGTGCAGGAAGACAAGATATTAAAGTCTGTCTCTTGTTTTCTTTATTGTTCGGCTGCATCTACTCTGTAGATCCAATGTACAATTTAAGGGCGGTTTAAAAGCTGACATGCTTTACCACCTTCATTATGACTAGGATGGACCAATTAGCGGCCATCTGTCTCTGCTTTTATTTATTGTTCGGTTGCATGTAGATCCAGTGTATAATTTTAAGGGCGGTTTAAAAGCAGACATGTTTTACTAGGTTCATTAGAGCTAGGTTGGACCAATTCGCGGTCATTTGGAACCTATTTTGTTTGTCTACTGACTTAAACAACGCATGTGTGGCAATCAAAGTACATTCGATGATGGTAAGATAATTTTTAGGCATCTCAACGTCTTTACCGTGTATGTCACAACTACAAATTCTTGTTGAGGTAGTTTAGTGGTTGAAGCAGTCTCTCTTTGCGCCGAGGGACGGTGGGGTAGGATCGTGGTTAGAGCGTTTGCTCTTCGCGCCGAGGGACGGTGGGGTAGGATCGTGGTTAGAGCGTTTGTTCGTCGCGCCGAAGACCCGGTTCGATTCCCCATATGGGTATGTGTGAAGCTCATTTCTGGTGTCCCCCGCCGTGATATCGCCGGAATATTGCTAAAGCGGCGTAAAACCACAACCACTTACTCTGTGTTCCGAAGATTAAATTTCCTGGATTAGTAAACTGCGTGAAGTCTATTCCGTTCTCTAAAAGCAAGGGGGCCTGGTGGTCAGTGGTGCACGAACCGGCTGGGTAGAGCTGCGAGTCTACCTGAAACCTGTGGTTATTGTTTGACCAATGATTCATGGTCAGCATCATACCCGTGCTTCTGGGTTTCACCAAAGTAGCTTCATTTTTGGGTTCCTTCTTTGGCACCCTGTAACATAACTAAACACTGTTCAAAGGGACGACTGTATATAAAACGCACTCGCCACGACGTTGTGTTTTAGATAATCTGATCAACTCTCACTGTAGCTTGTATTATTATGCATTGTCTTGGTAAGTCGCTTCTGTACATCTTTTGACGTCACTTTTATTGCACATCTAGTGGGTTGAAATTGCTTTTGGGAATAGATTTAGACCACGTGTTATAATAATGACGTTTGAAAAATTTAATATAATGTAAATTTAACTAGTAATGATACAGTGTAGAACATAAAAAGCTAAACAAAGATACGAACTTTAACACAGAAATTACATTCCAGCAAAAGTCACAGCAGCTGATAATTTCTTATGTTTAGGTTCCTTATAATGAAGCTATAACTGAGTTATCCTGTTGACTATTTGCCAATAAACTTTCATATGTCACTGACTTATGTCTCGATTCTTTTTCCCCTTCTGTAAGTACGTGTACAATTGTCACCATTGTCGAGAGAAACATACAGTCTTTATGTCTCGAATAGTCCAAATGCATTGATGTATTGTACATGTTCTATGTAACTTATTACAAGTCATCCCCGTTATGTTTGTATTACAGATGAGCTGCATGGGCATTGTCGTTCCGGACGCCGAGGTAATGGCTCTTTGGGCACCAAACAATGGCTTCCCAGTCGACATGGAACTGCTTTGTAAATCTGAGGTAATTTTGGGAAAAAGGCACTCTGTGAAAAGAAACACCCCCTAAATGAAGCTGTCACATTCCATTGTTTCCATTACGGCTTCCATGAGAGAAGGTAGTCCATTTGCCTTTCGTTAAATGTAATTGGCGAAAGGTTCGAAGGATTCTTTGATGATTTTTTTCTTTGGTCGAATTTGAGGAGGTTGCCTTGTGAAATATAGGTCTATAGGAAACCGGCTGAATATATTTGTATTGAGACAATGGCGTGGGTACTTTAGAATCATTTAGATGTATCTGAGCGGGATCAATAGAAATCAATAGGGAAAATATATCCCGAGCATCTTCACAGCAGCCTCAGACAGAATCAATGACCCGGACGGCGTCTCCGTGGCGTAACGCGTGTTATAGCCCGAAACTATAGACCTCCAGATTACTCACAATCCGGCTGACTCGTCTTGTTATATTCAAGGTTGTAGGTGTGACTTTGTAACCATAGAGACCAACAGATTACCATTAGCAACTGCATCAAAACAGAGCATCTTTGATGAATTTGGAACAATATTATTTTGTCTTTCGTTTTTACAAGAATGTTTCTTTTTCTACGCTTTAGGGTAGATGTGTTCCTGTATCAGGAATGGTTCTGTGCATATGATTGATTTATTGGTAAACAGTAATTTGAATTGTTCAGTTATTGTTAAAAATATTTCATTTTGCTTTTGTGATGACTGAAAGGCAGCACTATTCTGCAATACCAGGTGAAAAACAATTAAAACGATTTAGCATTTTAAACCTTAGCTAAAGCATCGACAGTAAATAATATATTTTTTTGAAAATTGAAAAGAAGAGATTATTAGTACACATAAAGCAAATGTAATTAGATATTTCCCTTTTTATGACAATGATATGTTTATTAACATTCAGTCTTGTGATCAACGCACTCGAGATTAGCATTCATTTAGTCAGCAACACATTTGTTATAGTTGAAGTATTTTGCACTGTAGTGTCGCCTGCCAGTTTGAGCACTTTATCGTGTTGACGATACAATAAAACCCTGTTAATCTGAATGTTGTTGTGGTGAAATCGGACGGATGAACGAATAAATTGGGTCATTGCTTTAAAAAATCAGTTATACGAATTATGTATTTTTAACTTGATATACTTTTTACATACACCATTACGTCTTTTGAATAGACCCATGAAGATTCGGGTAAGAATTGGTCTTCAGTAAGCCATACTTGTCGTAGGAGGCGACTATCGGGATCGGGTGGTCAGGCTCGCTGAGTTGGTTGACACTTCCCAATTGCTCATGCTGTTGATTACTGGATTGTCTAGTACAGACTCGACTATTCACAGACCCCCGCCATACAGCTGGAATATTGCTGAGTGCGGCGTAAAACAACAATCATTCAACCGCCCAACCAACCAATCTTTGAATAAGCCCTGCGTAATTCGGGCTATTGCGACTATATCCAACAAGCCGACCGTTACCGAATCATGCCTGTACTTGTCGTCAGTCCGTGTAATATATTTAATGAAATCACTCTCTTTGCAGCAAGTGAAAGATATCATCCTCAAAGACATGTTGGATCAAGGGAAGAAGGCCGGATTCAAAGGCTTCGAACAGGTGATGCGTTTATAGCCAGACATGGGGTTACTTCAAACGGCGGGATCGCGCAATTAGTCGCCATGTATGAAGATATGTTTATCATCGCGTTCGCTATGGGTTCAGTTACAGCTCTGTTATCCTTGTGTCTAATGGGGGGTTGCAAAGTGATTAGTGGCTCTTGTTACAAGTTCTTTGACAACTCCGAAGCTGTTCTGAGAGTTGATACTCTCATAGGTAATCGGACAGAGTATCCGTTCCTGGTTAGATAATGGCTGTGGTGGCGCTGTCCACAAGGGAGACAATCTTTGACTGGTTGAGTCATGGGGAAACAACGCGCAAATGTCAGATGACGTGAGAAAGAATTGGATAGGGTCAGATTTCAAAATTTACTGAGATATTGTTATATGATATAAACAGCCCACATCTCGTAAAGGTTTAATATTTAAACGACAGTCCTTGCCCCGAAAGCCCGGATTCTGTGTAAAACCCGTATCTACCATCTGGCTAGACCCTGCAGTATTTCTGCCATATCATGTATTCAAGTGACTCGAGTCCTATTTTACCCAACTCGGCCCCGAGTACCCGAGTACTCGTGAGAGCCCTACTATCTATTGCTATGAAATTGCTGGCGTGTTGCTCAAAGCGGCAAAACAAATTACGCACTGCATATGTGAGGACTTGTGCTTGGCTTGTCATGCCGACGACTCGGTAAACCTGTGAAATCTCTTATGTCTTGCCAACATGATATGGCAGAAATACTGCAGTTATCAACACCCGGGGCGGTTGGGTAGCCTAATGGTTAAAGCGTCCGCTCGTCACGCCGAAGACCTGGGTTCAATTCCCAACATGGGTACAATATGTGAAGTCCATTTCTGGTTTCCCCCGCCGTGATAAGTTGGAATATTGCTAAAAGCGGCGTAAAACCATACCATGAGTGAATATGGTTTTACGCTGCTGTTAAACACTCACTCTCTCACTCGCCACTGATTGTTAAGGACAGATATGTTATATTGCTTTTTTAACATGGAACCGTAAATAAGAGCTTTATACACTGTCAGTCTCTGCGTGCGTCCGTGAGAGAAAAGCGAGGGCGGTGGTTTCGGATCGTTTGATCCTTAACTTACTTGAGTAGCATAGTTTGATAAGACGTAACTCCAGGCCGCGGGGATATAGTCGGTGTCATGGTAGGCTATATGTTGTCCCTAGTGTGGAACGACATATATCTCCCCTGCTATGTTGCTGACATAATACCGATGCGACATTAAAGTTTAATTCAAGTCTATCCATACAATGGTTCCCAGGAAAATAATTTCTACTGACATTACTTGGCTTAACGTGACGGGGATGGTACAATCGTGAATGCAATGTGCAGAGTTACTTCCCTTAGTTATGGTTCTTGGTTTGTCTGAACCATACCCTTTCTCGTGAACATCAACAAATACATAAGTGTCTCCTCCAACCAACACCCGTGGTAAAACTGTCCACAGCTCCGGGAAACTACACTCTTTCGCTTGTCCTTACATTTTAAATCAGCCGTCAAAACGTAAGATAAATATTGTTTTATTTCTGTTTCGATAGTTTCTTTAAGGGTGTATCAATTATCTCGAAACATGGTTTTACATACGTTCAACCTTCCATTCAACCTTTGTTCAACCTTTCTTTCAACCTAATGTAACGTGATTGGATTGTGATCATTCGTGACCTATCGCCTTTCTCCGGCACCTGACATTCAGCATACATCGGAATGACACAAATGCAATAAGGGCAGACGTCTACCCAATTAGGCGTATCTTTGTGAAATTTGACGTAATTCGATTCAGTCCATAGATCAGAAAGTGATAAAACATCATTATTGGAAGATTAGCGCTGGCGTGCAAACCTTTATTCAACAGATTAAAAACCAATCGTTTGAAATGATTTATCTGGTAGCTGTTTTCAATGGTAATGGAATGCTACCCTCAAGGTGAGGGACGTTCTACAAGCAGTTGCAGTGTGGTGTCTCAAGTATTGATGCCAGATCATCAAGATCTCCACACAAAATGTGGTGGTCTGAGTGGTTTAAAAATAATTAACACTGATATTTCATGTTTTATATATCTTAATGACTTAACTAGTCAGTATCGGTTAGTTTCAGTCGGGAGTTCCAGTCTAAGTAAACTCAGGCTCAGTATATTTGCTACACTGTTATACAATGCTCGTCGTAAGTGGCGACTAACGGGATCGGTTGAACAGACTCGCTGACTTGGCTGACTCATTTCATCGTATCCCAGTTGTGTAGATCGATGCTCATGTTGTTGATCACTAGATTGTCTGGTCCAGACTCGATTATTACAGACCGCCACCATACAGCTGGAATATTGCTGAGTGCGGCGTAAAACTGAACTCACTCACTCTGAATATGACACCTTGTCTGTTAGCATCATATTCGTACAGAGCTGAACTGAAGTTGGACCTTTTCATAACATTTAAGTGAACCGCCTTGACGTGAGAGCAATATTGTCCCCATACACCCACACAATCCTTAACATTTTGAATGACAAACACCCTTTATATACAAAAGACATCATTACTTCTATGGAGTCACAAGCGTCCATAATTAATTATGTACATATTACTTGATCTAGTTTTGCGTCTGGAATGACACCAGCTGATTGAACAAGATTATGGCATTTTTCTCAAAGACGTTTACCATTCCCACTACCACTAAAAGGGCAGAGGAATTATGTCAAAGAGCAGTAAAAAGAACTATTGCTGTGAAACGTGATTAGGTTACGGTTTTTTAACTTGAATACTTGCATATCACTTGCGAACAAGAACAATGTTTTGTCGGAAACTTACTGCAGGATACGATTGTTCTTAAGATACATTTCATGGAAATGTATAGTAAGTGGTGATTATTTCTACACATATTGTCGCAGCACAATTAATGAATATAGTTTTACGTCGCTTTTAGCGACAATCCAGGGCTCCGTTCCTCAAAGCGATCGTAGTGCTAAGGTGATCGTAACACCCATACTGTAACATAGACTTACGACTGTCCTAGAGCTACGATCGCCGGAAGTCTATGTTACAGTATAGGAGGTCCGGCAGTCGTAGCGCTACGATAGCTTTGTGAAAAGGGCCCAGTATATCACGGCAGGGGACTCCAGAAATTGGCACCACACATTGTTCGTCTCTCGACACAGACACAATTACAGCCAAGTTCCCTTTGACTTTAGTGATGACACTTCGTTTGACCTCCACTCCCCGTCGTGAACTGATTGATTTAGTGTCACTTGTTCGCTTTATTGCGAGTAGTCGGTGTTTAGTACATTCAACATGGCATTCTGTTATGACGAGATGTCCCTGGAAGATGAAGTTGGAGGAGACAATCTTAACGTTAGTGTATAACTGGAAATAGACGAACGTACACCAGCGGTCTTTGATGTTGTGGAATGAGTTTGAAACTGTCTCATCAGTGATGCAAGTCCGTCGTTGTGTCTGCTGCTTCCTTTGAACGTATATCAGCGTGTACTTTTCATGTGGCAGACATACACTGAATGGTTTTAAACATATACAGGGTCGTGGCCACCTCAACCTTCTGCTATTCTTTTGAACCATTTGATTCAATAAGCTGTTATAGAACGTAACGTTTCCATTCTGTTGAATGGTGAACAAAGAAATTTGTTGGTTTTGAACCCAATCGGCTGATCGTTTTATGTTAGGATATTTTCCGTTGTGACATGGGTACCCGGTAGTACGGATGAAGGCTATTGGTGGGGTTTCGCTCACTCTATCACGCGGTTTCAGTTCTTTTCCATCTGGCCTTCGCTGTATCATGGGGGATTTCACTCACCATTACACCCGTGAAGATCCGGGCTAGAACTGATCTTCAGCAACCCATGCTTGTCGTAAGAAGCGAATAACGGGATCGGGTGGTCAGACTCTGTGACTTGGTTGACACATTGCGTATATCGAAACTCATGATGTCAATTATTGGCCCAGAGTCGACTATTTACAAACCGCCGTCATATATCTGGAATATTACTGAGTGTGGCGTTAAACAGCAAACAAAAATCGGGGTTTTCACTCACTTTCATATTTTTTTCAGGTGAAAGACATCCGACTCCAATCCGAACCCTTCTCAGTGGATAACGGCCTCCTGACGCCAACGTTCAAGTCCAAGCGGCCTCAACTGAGGTTAAAGTACAAGTCTGTGATGGAGGAGCTCTACAAGAAGAACAACATGTGACACAACAGCAGCGCATGCGCGTTGGCCATACTACTAGATATACGACTAATGTCGTTACTGCCTCGTGACAAGGCAATATATAGTTGCTAACAAAGTAATAAACTGATCGAAAGACACAAGATAACGGTGAATGATAGCAAATGTGTGGTGGTCATACCATGTTTACCCCAAAGTAATAGGTCAAATTCATGAGTTTCTCAACGAAGCAGCAGTTGATATTATTCTGCCACTTTGATAATATTTTCAGTCCCAATGTTAAGGGGTCCAGGCTGTTATTTACATGTTCACCATCGAAACAATAGCTGCAATATTACTGCTAGTTTAATGTTGCTATGTGTTCCCTCATCCATTTCCAACAGTATATGTGATATATCAGCTCGAATTCCATATATATATATATCTGAAGTTTAACACCAAAGTTTACCTGGCCATACTGTGTGATATGTGTGTTTATTTTGGACGCAAGAAGAGACGTTTATATATAAACCATGACAGCCTTTGGTCCCTTCGAACAACGTGTAGTTTGAATAGAAGGTGTATAACAAAGCATACTATAGTTACCGCATTTAACCACATCATTGACGTCATCAGAGACCCGTTGAGACAGATTCAATATAGTGACAGCATATTTATACAGCTCCCTACAGCGCTGTTGGCGTGGTACAACTGTTATCCATATTGTATCAGATGTCACCGATGGCGAGTCCCAAGTCATTGATCACTTCCTCTGGCAAGGCTTTGTGATCATGGACCACGACATGCACTCTGCGTGATTAGATTTGTATATACCGCGCTTTCTCCATCTACGCTCGAAGACAGAACTCGGTACAATGTATGCCGCCATTATAATTATTATGATATTATTTACAGAATAAAATATATGAATGCAGCAGAGGGCTTGGGGGGTCCTGGCACAGGTCAGGCACATCATCAGCTCAGGGCCCGTGTCCCCTCTCCACGCAGCACAAATAGCGAGTGACACTTCTCCCAGGAAGCGCAGTCTTGTTGCACCCACATAGAACCTTTCTTATACTCCCCAACACTGCAGTTTTCTCATTACCCAGAGTGTCAGAAGGCCTGTGTCCCTGGCAGCAAAACTTGTATATCTCCCAATGACCAAGAACATTGGGGTGTAGCACATCTTGGTAACTTGGGATGCAAGCATGACATTTCGTCAGCAAGATTCGCATATTTGCCAGATTTTTCAAGAACCTTGTCAATCACATCTGGCCTTTCAACAGGTTGCCAAGACCTCTGACCCACCCACCCCCACCCCAGGTAACAATAATGACTGATCTCCCTCTTTTGCTATTATCATTATTGTTATTGTCCCCGTCTATTAGTGAAGAAAATATAAATCATCACTGATAAAATGTGATAATGGTTTGTCTGCGTTAACAAAGACTCAATACAATACAACATACACACAGAGACTCACCCCGTTATCGCTGAATCATTGCCAGTTTCATTTGATGAAAGCATAATAATTATATTATTTTTATTGACTATTAAAACAGACCTTTTTCACGTTGATAGTTTAATGCGTTCAGTGGCCTGAACATACTCATGTGATAGTGCATTCTTACAATGAAGAACAAAACGGCTTGCAGGCTAAAACCTGTTTAGAGAACAGTTCGCCCATATCTCTTCTGAATGTTGCTGTGTTTATCAAAGCGCCAAGGCTGGTAGTGGAGCCTAGCGGGTGAAGCGTTCGCTCGTCACACCGAAGTCCCGGGTTCGATTCCCCACGTGTGCTCAGTGTGTGAAGTCCGTTTATTTAGTCCATTTCTAACAATATTCAGAGAATCCAATATATTTGAACTGTAATATATTACCAATATTTTAAAACGAATACCCAAAGTATGTTTAGAGCTTACCTTCTTAGCAATAGAGTTTATTTAATATATAACATATTGTTACATTGTTAAATATGTCAGATTAGCGCAAAGGAGAGTCCCAATACAATGTATATATGGCCACGATGATTGGTGTGAGAGTGTGCATTGAATGTGTTTTGAAAATATGCCACGTCAGTGGTGGAAATAGAACAAATATATTTAAACGTTTGTAACCAAGTTTGTTGTGTTGTCTGTGGTAATGTTCCCACTGGGAATTAGTGAATGGGGGGTCCATAGTGAACAGGGATCCATACTGAATTAAGGATCTATAGTGAAATAGGCACTGAGTGTCGCGTTGATTAGTAGATTCTGATGAGAAGTGGCTGGTCTCAATAGGAGACCTGGTTGCCCATCGAGTGGCATTACCCAATGTTTCTTGGAGCCTGTGTCAATTCAATTCAATGAGGTAAGCCGAATTGGTCCCGTGCTCTCGGACTTTTTTGTGTGACTGGGTTCCGTCTAAAACGCTAAAACAGTATTCCACTCCTATGAGTACTTCCAACAACGATTCCCCCATATATCACTTTATATTCTAGGTGCTATTTAAATCGGACTTACAATGATGTAATACATGACTGAACACAATTTGATGTACCTTGGGAATAAACGTAGATACAAGCCGTATGTAAAATCAGAATGTATTCCTGAAAGATTATTTGACCGAAGTACTCGCGATCGAAGTCGCATGTGCATTCTGAGTGGGTTGTCCAACATAACTTTCCTCAATAGGGGACGAGCCTTCTTGAAGGTTACGGAAAGGGCCGAGTGATGATGAATGTCTCAGGAGGTCACATTATTAGCACGACCTTCAGCGACCTTTAAATGACCAATGAAACGGCTAACGGGAAGTCAGCGTTAGCCAATCAGAGAGCAGCTTTCCAAAGCTTTACGGACCTTGTTTCAAACTGGTAAACGTGAAATATATTTTCCCAAATTTATCGATTCAAAATTTGAAAAGTGAGCAAACAAAGGTTAGGGAATGTCTACTCAACTGATGTGAAAGACAGACAGTGATTTAGACGGTATCAGTTATCATCAACCGTACAGCCCATAACCGTCGTTCGGAATGTCTTGCATTAAACATATCGCGGCTGTATGGTTAGAAAACACGTTCATACTTTCACTTTCACAATCTGGTTAGCGACCTGTGTGGTCAGACGAAAGGACGTTCGAACATTATCTCTAATGTCAACCCCCGTCGTGATATTGCTGGAATATTGCTAAAAACGGCGTAAAACCTAGACTAACAACTAGTCTCTGAAATGAACATATTTTACTGAAAAAAGTTCATAGTAAACAAATATATATATAATGAAAAGGAGCCCTGAGACTTTCTTCATTTTCCTGAAGCTGAGTAAATCTAGACTTGCCACATTTTCTAGACTTGCGTGGCCTTTCTTGGATATATTTGCTTCAGGGTCTGTACGACAGACTACAAAAAAAAAGTTATTATATTGATCTTTTTTTTTTTGTACGTAAAACCATACTCAGCCAGCTAATGTCAACCCTCAACTTTACGGCGGTAGCAAACACAACTATCTGATTTTCACGAGATTCAGATTAGGAAGATAGCTGCTGTCTTATAACGAACAAGTTTACTTTGGGTGTAAAGCAAAATTATGTACATGTTTATTCTGGACTAGGGAACTTTAGGTAATGGGGTCGAGGGAAGGTGTCTTTTTTTCGAACAATCGAAGAGGTTTTAGGCCTCAATATACACACAAATGTATATGTAGGTAGCAATACACATATATTATCATATTATTGCCATTTAGGAATTTTATAACTTCTAATTGTTTCAGTCTTCAGGAGAAAGTTTCCATCATCGAACCATTTGTGTCTTTCCTACTACTCAGTCACATAGTCAAATGCTTATATTTGTGGCTTTGGAGTCTGTTGTCTTTTTTCAATTCATTGAAATGAAATGCCCCACTACTGTCAGTAATGAAATAAAGAACCGTATTATGTATTGACGTGTTTTGAGGCTGCCCGACGGCAATACTCACATGACTACCTGTTATTTGCCCCTACTTTATTCATCATAGGGGCAGGGACCGCCTCCGTGGTGTAGTGGTTAGAGCGGAAGGTCGTGGGTTCGATCCCCGACCGCGTCATACTAGAAGACGTTAAAATATGGTACTTATTGGCATTAATGGGTACAATAAGGACTGGTCGGCTCGGAGTCAGTATACTGTGTCTGAGTAGGGTATTCATGCTTAACTGCGGCATGGTATCTCAGTGGGCTAGCACTATAAAACCAGCTTCAGTCTGGGCTAGTACAAGCAGCCGCACATACATACGCATGTACGTCGCCATATGAGCGAAATATTCTCAAGCACGACGTTAAACCCAATTTCACCTCACCTCATAGGGGCAGGTGTAGCTCGGTCGTCTAAGGTGCTTTAAAGAATTGCGCCCCTTGGGCATGCCAGGATCCTACTCTCATTATGTTTATAGGTTTGTCAGCAACATACCCATGTTCATGGTTTCACCAAAATGGCAAGTGGCTGAGACATGCCTCATTTCCAGTCTAAGTAAACTTAGGCTCAGTATTATTCGTTACCCTGAATCACTGGCATCGTTTCGGGAACACCTCCAATAATGGCTGACACGCCGTAACTGGAACACTATGTTCAAGGCGGCGTAAAAACCAATTCATTCTTTTCCTAGTATAACAGACACTTGTGACCATCTGTATGAATGTAATAGTTCCAGGAGAAACTGGTCGTATCACAGTTATTATACTGATCAAATTCAGATCAATGTAACTTTGATATTACTAATAGGTTCATGGACGTCCCTATATACAGGGATGGTGTTTGCTCTTTAAGAGCTGTGAATACTTACAGATATCATTCAGACGTTCATTACTGGTTTCGCGATATGACGTGAACGCTGAACCAAATGTTAGCATCCGACAAATATCATAGTTTCTGGTCGAAACATTAACTGAATATTCTATGTGTCCTACGTATTTTTCACAATGGTTTCGCCATCAGTGGCTTGATCAAATGTTTGGCTAAGATGATAACTGGAATCTCCGCATTAAACAATCACTTCCACTACATGATTAACAAACATCAAAGACGACTTTAGAACGGAGTGTACGTAATAAAAGCAGACGGTATTACAAAGAGTGGGGACGCGAAGATCGATGACAGCGGTACATAACCGATTCTTATCAATCTGCCCAGAATTGTGAATCATTGAACTCCGCAGAACAGAACAGTTGATTCATCGTTGATTAGAAGTTGATATTCTGACGTTTGAGACCAGAACTTGATGGATTGACACCAGATTCTTATTGCATCACAAAACGTAACAGATGCGTTTTATTGCATGGACAGAATACAGAAGTCGCAAATCCCTGCACATCGTCAGCAGAACAGACGGAATGGGGATTGAACTGAAGGGGGGCGATTGTTTGACGACATCTGACGATTAAAGCAGGTAAAGATCGACCATTCAGGCGTTTCCATGTCGGCGATTGCCAGTGATTTGTACTGGTGTAATTAAAGCGGAACCCGCAATATGGGAATCACTACGACTGACTCATAGTCAATATGACGGACGCAGTCTGAGCATTGAGAGGGCAATAGCTTGACGAAGAGGTAACGCCAAACATCAGCGGGTAGGACTTGGAATACAAATATCAAGCTTAGCTTTAATCGAGTGCTAACTATTGATTCTGTCCATGTCTTTGAGAGACTAAAATTCAAATGTTTGCTCTTTCGGGCCCCGTATACTGGTATTGATTATGGCGTCCGTTAGATGGGGGAAAACGTGAGTCGACAAAATACCCGCAGTGATTGCTCGCTCTAAATGCACGTTTTAGGACTATTTTCCATCAACAGGGAGTGGACTCTAGATCAATTTATAGCCGTTTGCTGCTCTTTTAACTGATTAAAGTGCATTTTATAAAAATGCTTCACCGATTTTCCCCCTCTTTGGTAATGTAGTTGTTCGTGTTCAACAGAGATGCTACGATTCTCATCTTTGTTATCTTCAGGGTGAGTTGAATGAGGGTTTTTACGTCATAATAAGAATTGTATGCTAATTTCAAATGTAAACTACCCATTTAACATAATAATTTATTCATATATGGTATTTTTTCCGTTTGGGTTTTTAACCCACACAGCACTATTCTAGTGAGTGAGTGAGTATGGTTTTACGCCGCTTTTAGCATTTTTCCAGCAAAATCACTGCGGGGGACACCAGAAATGGTCTTAACACATTGTACCCATGTGGAGAATCGAACCCGGGTGTTCGGCGTGACGACGAACGTTTTAACCACTTGGCTACCCCACCGCCCCTGCTCTATTCTAGCCATACAACACCGTATGATCAGGCAAAACAAGCAATCCACCACGTCAACGAGCCTGATCACCACTGCACAGAGCCATCTTAGAGCTACGATTATTGTACGTCCTGTATTCTAACACCGACTAAAGGAACCATTGCGCCAAGATCGCTTTGTACAAGTTGGCCCTTATCAGTACTCGCCTAGTACGTCAAGCATAGGTTATTACGAACCGGTTCAAACCAGGAATCCCAATAGCGTATTAATAACTGAAACAGTTAATGAATATGATGAAATAGGTTAAAGAGAACTGCAGAGTAATCAGTCTTCCCTGTACACATGTGCAAAATGTCTAAGTGTTATGGCGGTATAATGCTTACCTGGGTTAAATTTGGAACCTGTGAGGTTTAATTATCAAAATGTTATATGCGTGTATGGAATTATACCAAATATTTCAATATAACTTGTTGAATAATGAAAAAATACTCTCATAATTCATGGATTTGAATTTGGTAATCTTAATATCATCTGATCTTTCATCTATAGCGTAATGCTTTTATTACGTTAAAAAATGTGCCTGTGTCTTTCAGCATATCATTAAAATGATGATTTATGGTACTTTGTTTCACAAAAATTTAACAGAGAAACACAACCAACTACACCTATAAAGAGACGCTTTTAACGAACTGACAATTTGGTTCCGGTCACTTGTTGAATATTTTAGTCTAATTACCTATAAACTACTGTTATGAACTGAAATAAGTAGCCCCTTTGACTTCAATATACTCGCGCTTAACTGTAATACTTTTGCAAAATATTTGCTGGATCTTTTCGCAATTGCAACTGAGAACGAAATAACTTTGCACCAGCCTA